ATAGTCTTACATAAGGAACTAAAGGTTTCGCTGCACTGCACTTCGGTCGTCTTCATGTTTTAGAGTTACAACAGTGCAGCTAGATTTACCTTCTACACCTGTGTGGTTTTTCTTTGAGCCTACAGTGACTCCTATTTTACGCTGGTAGTTTATAGCAATGTCAAATTCTGTTGCTTTTGTGTGACACAACATTTTATGTTTGAGTTCTAGCACTACTGGAAACAGTTTGATTTGTCAAGCTCAAAAGTCATTTAGGTGCTCACCTTCTAGGTAGGAGTGACAAGAAAAAAGGGACAGTTGGTAATGTAGATATTGATATGGCACATATGGTGTTTTCCTGAGAACTCATTCAAAAAATTGAGGTTCATCTTGCAACAGTTCTTTTATCTCAGCTGTTTTGTGTAGCTCCATGTTATTCTTACTAATGCTGTACTTGTAAAATGTATTTCGAAACTAGACCTCACCAGTCTTCTTTTATCAGTTTTTAAGAATGAGAACTCCTAGCAGTAGGGAATAAATAATTTATAATAACTACCCGTGCAGTTCAATTGCTGTCACCGATTCAGTGGAAGTCCTGTTGATTTTCAGCAGTTTTCACAGATTATGTTGTTTGTATTTTCTGCTCTTTGCCTAGATCTTTCATAAGGCTCCTTGGAAGTCTTCCTTTCCACCAAAAAATACTTCTTGCTTCTGAGAGTATCCTATGTTTTTATAAAATCCTTCTTGAATATCTGCTGCTTTTCTGTGGGCAGTGATGACTTCCACAGTGTTGTAGAATTACTCATTGGCTGTGTCCAGATTCTCTGCCCAACTTTTATGGGTTCCTTTTCTCAAAGCCAGAGCTGAGTTCTGGAGACTCAGTCTCTCTTTTTATAAGCCATACTGCTGGAACTTTCACCCTGTGCCAATACTAGGGCAGATGAAGAAAAGAAAATTTGAAAGATGTGTTCAAGCAGATTGTATGGAATGATAAAGGACGTACTTTTCTCTCCCTCTAAATCTATTTCTGTAGAGGTTCACATGGGCACAGGACTAGGATCCCCAAGATTTAGCATGCCATGAAACACTTTTTTAAATGTTCTTTAAAGAAAATGTTCTTAATGTTCTTTGAAGAAAAGAACAGTTCAAAGCATATTTTTAATTTGTGCACTGATATTTGGAATTTCACAGTTTTAACAATTAAGCTTTTTGTCACATACATACAGTTATTTAACTCTCTGCACTGTAGTACCTGACTGCTGAACCATAGTAGTACTTAAGTATTTAGTACTACTAAATGGCTGAGCAGTAGCCTGCCACCAGCCAGCTCCCCACAGCCTTTATGGGCTTTTGCATGATGTCACATAATATGGAACTACCCCCTTGCTCATTTCAGGGCCCCTGGCCTTCACTCCATCACTGCTGCTTTTCAGTAAAGGCTGCAGCTCTTCTCGTCTGAGTGGCCAACTGCACATATCTCGGGAGCATCCAAAACATTGTTGTGATATGAACACTGCCTTAGAAACCAGGACAGTGTTTTCATTTGTGATGTCAAAAAGAAAGTGTATGACAAGTACTCAGTACAAGTTTCCGAATGTGGAGAGTGACTAAATTTAAACTTCTGAACACTGAGAAATGCAAACTTAAGATAAATATTTCCACCATAAACCAGCAGTCCTTTTCCGTCTTCCACCTTTCTGTGGTTTTTCACTTCAAGTGTTAATGTTTGGAAAGATTACTTTTTAAAATACAGGGTACATTCTAAGATTGAAAATACAAAATTTGATTAATTTCATTAATTTTTCCTTCTTACAACATATAAGCACATCAGACTTGGAAATACAATATATATGGGAAGCCAGCTTATGCTGAACACTTCATAATTGTAAACCTCACTTTCAAAATGAACCTTGGGGCAGCTTTTCTCAAGTACTTGTTCACTTGCCACAGTATTCGTACTCACAAACTATTTAGACATCATGAATACAGAGTCGTAGAATCACAGAATAGTCCAAGTTGGAAGGGACTGAAGGAGCATTGAACTCCAACAGAAACTCACCCAAAATTTAAACCCTATGTCTGAGTGTTGTCCATACACTTCTTGAGCTCCAGCAGCTCAGTGCCATGCCCGCTGCTCTGGGCAGGCTGTTCCATGCCCACCACCCTCTGGTGCAAAGCTTTTCCCTCACCCCCGGCCCTCCCCTGGCACAGCTCCGTGCTGTTCCCTCGGGTCCTGTTGCTGTTACACAGAGCAGAGCTCGGCGCTGCCCTCCCTCTGCTCCCTGTGAGGAGCTGCAGCTGCCATCAGACCCCCCTCAGCTCCTCTGCTCTGGGCCCAGCAAACTGGAAGTTCTCAGCCGCTCCTCATCCATCTTGCTCTCCAGACTCTTCAACATCATTGTAGCCCACCTTTCAGCACATACTAAGTTTTATGTCCTCCTTATATTTTGGCCAAATAAGAAAGTAATAATGCATTACAACTGATAGCAGAAGTTTCTGAGGTCTTCAGAGTGTGATTGGTGACATTAGTTACCATTCAAGCAGGTTTGCATATTTTTATATTGTTATTGTCATTTTAAATAGTATCAAGAAAATAGGTTTACCTAAATTGTTTCTGGCAGAATATGGCTTGCTGTGACTCCATAGCAAAAACTTTTATCTCTTTTTGCAGTTTTAGATCATTGTAAAGCAACTAAGTAGTTTGACAAAATTTATATATGGTCAAGCAGACAGAATCTCACCAGCTAGGCCTAGAAATCTACCCAGTATCTAAATACTGTTACAATATCTAGGGCAAAACCACATCCAAGAATCATAATGTGAGTAATGTATAGACATGTTCTAAGCCTACTTAATACACAGTTTATTTGTCAAATTTGGTTTAAAGTAGTCCATATTTTCAAAAGGCACTGCAGAGAACAACTGCAGGGACAAGATGATGAGCAGAGACAGCTTGAATCACAAGCCTTACTTTCTTGTGAAATTAAGAAAAATAGAAACAATCTGTATCATTCAAGATATGAAATCTACCAAATGAAAATTTTTGTGGTTTAACTCAGCAGGCAGCTAGGCATCACACAATCATTCAATCAATCCTTTCTCTCAGAAGGGTCACTGAATTCAACCCCTAGCTCCACACGACAACACCCAAAATTTGAACCCTTTGAGAGCATTGTCCAAACACTCCTTGAACTCCAACAGTTCAGGGCTGTGCCCACTGCCCTTGGGAGCCTGTTCCATGTATGATCACCTTCTGGTGAAGAGCTTTTTCCTAACCCCTAACATGACACTTCCCTGATTTAGCTCTGTGCTGTTTAGCACGAAGCAACTCTGAGGACTGCTCTGAAAGTAATACCGCCTATTTTATAATATTAGCTCATGACATCTGGGTTGGTGATATGGCACTAGGGATTGAACTTTCCCACCAGTATCCTGTTACATGCTGTTGCTGTGTGACAGGTGGCAGCAGAGGGACAGCCTTACAAAGTGATGTCAGACATGGAAGTATGTAGGAGGCAAATGTATGTCACTGAATTGCTCCCTGCAGAAAAAATGACACCCAGTGGAACATTTATGAAGACCAGGCAGTGAATGGTGAGCGCAGTGAGTGGTGTGTCTCAACAATGGCAACAGCAACAGTGGCTCACCTGTACTGGTATAGATTTATGAGCACAGTATGCAGGCTGTTGTTTGTCATTGGTGAAAATGCATAGCTTATGGTGGTGTCTATGTGAAAAATAGTACTGTAGCTGTGATTTTGCTCATTCAAGTACAGTTATTGTGTTCTTCATATCTGTTGTAATTTCCATGAAGAAAAAGTTGAAGGCATTACTTTCAGAGCAACCTACATGTATTTAAAGAAAGCTGTTGTTGATTGTTCCTATTGTATTAACTCAAGTATTTGTAAACCTTTCAACTATATGTGGCAAAACCACACTTCGAAGAAAAGTTTCCAAAATGTGGGGAGTAGATTCTGGATTAATTCATTGTTAGCTAAGACTCTCTGGTTTGTTTTTATTTGCATTATATTTTGTCAAGAATTGCTGGTGAGAGACAAATATTTTTACAGTCAGTAGATATTCAGTAACTTCTAAAGGTTCTTGAATATCTTCTGTAAGAAACTTCTGGATCTCAGTGATCAAACAAGAACAGCAATACATTCTTCCTTCAGCAATCAACTAGTATGCAAGTCATGAACAGTATAGATTTGGACAAGCACTGAAGAAGAAATGGCTATTTATGCTTGCAGCTCTTTAGGATGAATTGTTTTACAGCTGTTCTATGATTTGCCCTTCAGTTTCACCAGCGTGAGTAGAGAAAAGGTCTGGTTGCGGTGGTACTTTCTGGTGGTTTTCCTGTTGTTTTGTTTCGTTTTGTTGTAATGGCTGTGGCAACTTTGAGAGTGTGTTTAAGTGATGTCTGAAGAACGCTGATGACTGTAGTCCATTTCAAACACAATATGTATATTGATTAATTGATGACAGTTATTGGGGAAACAAAAAAAGTTTTTCCTTTGGAGAGGACAGTATTTCAGAAAGCTGAGTTTCCTGGATCATTCTTTATTTTTGGATCAACTTTAGTACAGCTACTTTCTCCTTAGCTCTTGGCTGGAGTTGTACAGTACAGCAAATCCCTGAATTTTTTCAAAGAAGTTTGTACATTCCTTTTTAGATCAGAATTGTTGATGTGTATGCAGCCGTGCCCAATGGCATGAGTAAAACTTCTTAGATTTGGTTATTTACGATCCTCAAGAGCTAAGAAAAATGCATGTAGTATTCAAAGAACAGTGTGGAACAGATAAAAGGTTTAAAGACGGTTTATAGAGACTTCTACAAAAATTCTATTTGTTTTCTTTTCTGTTATTCCCTTCTTAAATAAAGAACTATTAGTATATTCTCTTATAAACAAATAAAAGTTTATCCTGTTTCCTAAAGCATCTGCAGCATCTGAATATTAAATAAATATTTGAATACTTGCATTTTTGTTCTTTCATTGATATATAATAAACACGATGACAGCTGACTTATTTTTAAAGATTGTTCCCAGCACAGTATTCTCAAAATGAAGAGCAAGAGTAGGTATGCCTAGCAGGTAGATAAGAGTAGCATGTGGGTTTTATTTATTGTTTTGGCATGGTTGGTTGTTTTGGTTTTTTTAATCTTAAGTGTTTTCTTACTTAACATGCATCACTTTTCATCTTACCAAGACACTTGTTGTGTACAATGTAAGCAAAATGAAGAACAAAATCAGTTCTAATAGTTTCTCAAAACAGTAATCGCAAACTTAATATTACATCATGAATTTTGAAACGTGTGTATGTTTCTTTGCCTGAGAACAAGTGCCAGAGAATATACAGTATATTACTGATTTCTTTCTTCTCCAAGTATTCTAATAATTATTCTGTTTTAAATATACTTTTCCTAGTAGGCTCAGAAAGGCTTAAATATATATTTGTAGAAAATAATCCTGCTGATGTACGTGGATATAGCTTTTAAACATCTGTATGAATCTGTATTCAGCTTTTGTTCCTTTACTTTTGGCTGTTTTTTGCAAGGCATTCATCTGACCAAATGTTCTATAGTTTTTATGCTCTATGAATGCTTCTACTGATTTCAGTGTATTTACCCACAGTACATAAAATTGAGTGTATGTTTCAGGGAATCAGGATCTAAGACTCTTTAGTGAATAGTCTGTACCTGTGGAAATTATGCCAAAATACCTACATGCAAATTTCTCTTCTAGAGTTGGGTGGAAGCTGCCTCTTGCTAAATGCTGAATAGCTGTAAACAGAATTGTATAATCTCCAGATTAGATCTGGCTGGCCTCCATTCAGCTGGTGGTACATGCAGATGAACTAATCTGTCTAATCCAAATTATGGTAAAGCACAATGAATCATTCATTTACCTACACTTTCAAAAGAACTTGTTAAATTCAGAGGATGAACAAAAAATAGACTGTTTTGTGGAAACAGCAGAAATATCGTTTTACAAATGTAATTCACCAGTTTGAATTTGTTTTTATTTTCATGTTTAACACAGTGGAAATATGTATGCTATTTATAATGTTAATTTTCATTTGCAGTGTGAACAATGTATAAAGTTCTAGAAAGGCCTGTCAAATACCTCCAGATATATCTAACTTCTAACTGTGGTATTGCTAGTGGATATTCTGTAAGTGGTTTCTGAAAAATAATTGTAGTGTTGGGCACTTTTTTTTTATTATTTTTTTTCTTTTTTTCTTTTTTCTTTTTTCTTTTTTTTTAATCTTTGGGTTCAAATTGACTCTCCTTACTTTCATTAATAGGTAGCATAGATCAGTCAGTGTTAAAGGAGTTGCCTCCTGAGCTCCTGGCAGAAATTGAATCCACCATGCCTCTTTGCGAACGTGTGAAAATGAACAAACGCAAACGTAGCACAGTTAATGAGAAACCAAAATATGCTGAAATCAGTTCTGATGAAGACAATGACAGTGAAGAAGCTTTTGAATGTAAGTAGTACATAATTCTGTTCCTATGGCAAAACAAGGCTAATACTTTGCTTTCTCAGAAAGGTTTCTTTTTAAGTTGGCTAGTCTAAATGAAAACAAGTTTGCTATACAGGCAACAATTTGCCTGAAAATTTTGTTTTTTACTTTATAAAAGAAAGAGTAATTACTCCATTTGAATTTGTAACTCAAGATGAAAAGCAGCTACCCTTTAAATTTGTGTCTGTACTTACCTTATGGGAAGCCATTCTGCAGATTTTTTTTAGTTATGCTGTGCAACATTTATGCAAAATACTGTCTCGTGAGGAAAGAGAAGAGAACCAAATGTAGAAAATCCATTTCCATAAGACGTTTATTTCTCTATCCAGTGCATTCTGTTCAGATAGCACAGGTTCAGTTGCAGTTAACTCTCAGCCATTTAGAACAGGAACTGTATCTCAGGCATCATGAACATGACTCTACTGCCTCCAGAAGCAGTTCTGATCCAGAAGTAGTACAGCTCAAAGCCTGATCAAAGTTATTAAAGTATTAAACCACCTGTTGGCAGAAATTTCGTACTGTGTTTTCAGAAATGGAAACTAGGGTGCAGTGTGGTATCACCTCATATTCAATAGTTCTTTATTCATAATGCCTGTGACTGGTCTGCTTATTGGCTATATTTTGATATGAATAATGTTTTCTTTCCTATGCTTATCAAGAAACTGGAATTGTAGAAGTAATTTGTCAGTTCTGTTCCAGTTCTGTATAAATCCTTGGAGACATTCTTCTCTAAAGCAATTCAGTATACAGTCATACATTTGTAAATGTCAGGAGAGTTTGACAGAAACATGTACAAATATAAAGGCTATTCAATACTGCTTCATGAGAACAGTAAACTTTGGTAGTCTAGAGTGCAATGTTTTGAAACCATTTTGATCTTCAAAGCTTCTATATCTTTTTGTTAGCCCAGTCACCATCTTACATTAGGTAATGGAAAGTTTCATGGAGGAAACTATGAAATATCCTCTTTCTATTACATCTTAGCACCTTTTCTTCTCAAAGATGTACAAGACTGCCTTCAAAAATAACAGAGAAATCTCCATTCCCTTTCTCTGAAAATTGTATTTTCACCAAATCTTTGTTTCTGATAAAAACACTCATCCTGATTTCAGCATTTAGTTCTGCTGTTCTTTTTGGTATTGACTGGAAAGTGGTTATAAAAGCCACAAGTGGTAAATACTGACTGTTTAGTCCAGAATTGTTTCTCCTTTCCAATGAATTATGTGCAATATATATCAAGACAAGTTTTTTGATTTCTTGGCAAAATCGACTGTAATTTGAATTTCCTCTATTAGATGGGCAAAATGAACAATGAGTTGCACTTTATAATAGCCACAATTATGTAAGTGAAGAATATCTAATTTTTTTTTTTTTTTTAAGAAAGGAGAAAATTAAAGTTGTTTTGTTCATTCTCCTTTGTTTAAAAGGGCAAGTCTCCTTCACATTCATGCTTTTAAGTATTTGCTGGGTATCTTTGATTTCATGCTTGTTTTTCATGTAATTCAAAATGAATTGTTAGGTTGGTGCCGTAACTGAATTTTATATAATGGTTTGGAGCGTTCACTTGTTTTATGAAGCAGTTATATGGTTACATTTTGTTTGTAAGCCTATAATTTTGAGATATTAAAATTGGATGTTTTATACTTAGAATGAAAATGCATTTCATTTCTAGCTTCTCGAAAAAGACATAAAAAGGATAGAGACGAAGCTTGGGAGTACGAAGAACATGACAGAAGAAGTTCTGGTGACCACAGGAGAAGTGGTCATTATCATGAAGGAAGAAGGACTTCTGGTAGTGGCCGTTACCGTAATCGCAGTCCTGATGACTCTGATATGGATGACTATTCTCCTCCTCCTAGCCTCAGTGAGGGTAACTCATCGTTATAAAAATTCATTTTCTTTCATAATACAAGTGCATTTTTAAAGGACAAGTTGAAAATTGTGGAATAAACATTTTTACATGTAGTGTTTAATGCAAACGTAAGAAATGTAACTATTCCTTTATTTCATTTTGACAAACTGTTAGCTTCATTCTTTGCTCTCTTATTAGTGGCAAGAAAAATGAAGAAAAAAGAAAAACAAAAGAAGAGGAGAGCTTATGAACCTAAACTAACACCTGAAGGTAATTTTCAGATTTATATTCTTCAGTTTTTATTTTCTGCATTGTATATAAAATATTCATTTATTTATTTGTTTGTTTGTTTCCCACCAGAAATGATGGATTCTTCAACCTTCAAAAGATTTATTGCTTCAATAGAAAACATTTTGGAAAATCTGGAAGACATGGATTTTACAACCTTGGGTAATATGTCAGAAATTTTCAAAGTGCTTCCCCCCAGTTAGACACAAGAAATGACAAACAAATTGCATTTCTAGTATTTTCAGGCTTTCTTCTTTCTAATTTAATTTCCTCTGATACATGCTAGAATAAATAGTGTTCGTATGGCTTCCACCTTGAGTGGGTATCTTTACCTTTTCAATTTCACTTGCCACTGGAGGCAGAACTTCTTCCTTTCCTTGCAGAATCCAAAAGATTTATAAATCATAATGAAACAAATAATAGTCTACTGGAATGTATCTGCTGCTTTGTTGTTCTTGTCAAGTGGCTGAGCGCTTAACACACTTTTTACTATCACAGGATTAGAATGAGGAGAGAGATGCAGTAAACAAATCACTATGGTTTTTAAAGCAGTCTTGTCTATACCCCTGGATTTAAAACTGTCATTCTTTCTATGCAAGTAGGTTGTTCCATAAGTAATGCCTCCTCTTCATTTCCTCAGAAACTGTAACAGATAAAAAAAGCTCAAGAGCACTATTTGGTAGAGCAAATTCTCAAACACTACAAAAGAAAAACACTATTCATCTGCATAGTCACCACCGTTAGCAGTGCAATTTTGCAAACCGTGGACAAAAACCTGCATGCCACTTTCATAAATAACTTCATGGCTGTACAGAACGTGGCTTATATTTCATATTGCAGGCATCACTGCTGAAACACACCACCCACTGCCCCATTATGTTCACATCCACTGATTGGTCTTCAGAAATGTTGACAAATGTCAATACATGCCATTTTTTCAGTGCATCCTTAGGTATAGTATGCATTTTTCCAACTGTTGTTCTGACTGAGATTTGAACTTTAGAATTATAACTATGATCATTTGTGATTTGTTTTGCCAAATGAGGGTAGTACTGCAATATATGTGTTGCTGTATAAGAAAAATAGATGTCTCATGTTAGGCTGTTAAATGAAATTCCAGAGCATGTAATCAGACACATTGAGCAAGTTGTTGTTTTATAAAAACCTAACGTTGTCATCATTAGTTGGAACTATTAGATCCTAGCTATCTGTGAAGCAGTTCTTTAACAGATTTTCTTGCTTTTGCTTTTTCTCACTGACTGTCAGTACTGCATTCTTTGAAGTGTTATGAAAAATGTGACTGTTTACTTTTTTTTTCTTTTTTTTCTTTTTTTTTTTCCCAAGGTGATGATGATGAGATTCCACAGGAATTGCTTCTGGGAAAACATCAGCTTAATGAGTTGGGTAGTGAATCTGCAAAAATCAAGGCAATGGGTATCATGGACAAGGTACATCTTCATAGTCTTTACCTCTTCCTGATCATTCAGTTTCATCACACCTGCAAAAAATGTGTTCACTGTGATGACATTTCAATCCCTTCATTAGAGCATGTGACTTACTGCGAACAGTAATGCTTGCACTGAACTTAACTGAAGTACTTAAATAGTTGCCGCATGTCAACCGCTAATTTCTCTGATGCTGAGGTATTTTTGTGTCTGTGACAACTAAGCACTGTGTACTAATATGTAACACATATGCCTGAGCAGAAAATGTAAATTAATTTACTTTCACAAAAGCACACTGATCTATTGTCTGCTCCTTGCATCTAGTTTTGAGCAAACCCAGTGAAATAGGACATCCACTGTTTCTAATATAAGCTGTCAGTACACTGTGAATATGCAGATGTCCATCATATTGAATTACCTAGTTCTTCCTATGTCTCCAGAAAAGCCTCTCAAACTTAAAATATTTAATGTCTCTGGCGACAAGATTCAGTTTCTGTAGACTGCCTGTGCTGGGTTGTTTACTATACTCTTCCTGCCTTCAAAGAATGTTCTGTGATGTTGTGTTGGTATAGCACTTTTAGAAATAATTTTCTTGCTTTCCTAATGTAAAACTCTTGGTTTTGGGCAGTATTATGTTATGCTCTTAGTCTGCATGCTCTTGATCACCCTCTGTGACAAGTGCAAGTCACTGAAAGATCTTCCTTAAACCAAGACTCAGATATACTTCTTTGCCTTTTCTTCATTCCTCCATATCTTCATCTGTAGAATGTTTTCACCCTGAGCATTTTGTCTACTTCATACTTCTCACCCTTAACCTCTCCTACTTTTTTTTTTTAATACACATGTGCATGCATGTATGTGTAAAATCAGAATTCTGTTACTTCTGGAAAGGATCACCAGTATTATCTGGATGAGTAAAAGAGATTTTTCTGGAGTTGCTGTATTTTTATCTGTATGTTCTACAGTTTATTTAATGCTGTAAGATATCAGTAAGAGAATTTGTGTTATGTTTTTCAGCATGCTAATTTTTCAATGTTATTAAAGTTAGTAAGAATACATTTCCTATGTATTAGCACTCAAATACCAAGGAAATTTATTTCTGCAAGGTCTGGATCTTCTAATAAATCTGTATATGGTTAGCTAGAATATGTGGCTCATACCACGGCTCCTTGATATATTTGCTTTCTTGTTACAGCTCTCAACAGACAAAATAGTAAAGGTCCTGAATATTTTGGAGAAGAATATTCAAGATGGATCAAAGCTTTCTACGTTACTTAACCACGTGAGTTTCAAATTGCATCATTTCACACCACTGCTGAAGAGTGCTTCAGCACCAGATTTTCTTTACTTGGGTTCTGTTTATTTGATAACTTCATATGCCTGGGATTTGTTTATGAGTGTGTTTGAATGCTTGAATGGAATTTTTTATTTTAGATATTCGTGATAAACAGATTGTCAAATTTTATGATTTGAAATAAAGTTCATTTGATGATATTCTTTCAATACTAGTAGTTTTACTGTAGTTCTATTAAAAACAGATGTGTTGAGAGCAATTGAGTTGTCTTTTTACTTAATTTAAAGTACTAAAGTTTCTATCTGAAATGCTTCTGGTAATTATATATATGATAATTATATATCGTGGAAATGTCTTTGTTAGTGGTTCATAAACCTTCCTTAACACAGTGAAGGAAAGTACAGCAATATTTAGAATGTATTTCCCCTTAAGCATTAAAAACTAAGCACGTATTTTAAATCATAGAACCATAGAACATCTAGAGCTGGAAGGGACCATCTTTTTTAATAAAAAAAACTTCCTTCAAGCAACACGTGGCTTAAAACTATTCCATGTGAGAAATTTAAAGGGATCTCCTCATTTGTGGTTCTTTTCTTTAAATACTTGTAACACATACATAATGCAATACTTCTAGATTTTCTTACCTCAAAGGGAGAAAGCTGATACGATTAGAAACTGTTGTTTCGCCAACAGTTTTTCTTTGTAAAAATAAGGAAAGCCAATGTTGAACTGCTGTTAGAGAGCTGTAGTTTGTATGGCTGTGTATGTAGCAGGCATAGTATATTAGAAATTCTCTCTGATTTTCCAATTGATAATGTGATAAACATTATTTCAGTAATGCTTGTAGTTTGTAAATACCCTGTTGATCGTTTGGTATTATAGTTTGTACAAAAACCAACATACAGGAATTGTGTGGCCAGTGCTAAAACTAAATGGGTATGTTTGATGAGATGAAGCTGAACCCAATGATAAAAGATCATGATAACAGTTGAGCCTATCTCTGAGGAAAGTCTCATTCTTACCAGTTTCTGTGAATCAGAACAGTCTTGCTGTGTGACAGTTCCCTCTAGAGGTAAAAAACAGATTTGTCAGAGCAGGAAGCTGTGTGTGTAACCATGAAGCAAAACTGAGTCGTTTTTGCTTAAGGCACATCAGTCTTAAGCAGACAGTATGCGGTATTCCTTCATAGAGCTTCCCTAAAATACAAAACTTCTTTGTATTTTACCAGAACAATATGGTGGGTTATTGTAGAATTCTAACTTAGGAAGAAGTATGATTGAAAACATGTTGCTAGTAAAACAAATTGTAGTTGATTGTAAGACAGTTTTTTTGCATCACAGAGGAATGTGCTTGTATGAAAGTATATTAAAATGGCAATTTTATCCTTACCAAGTACTGTATAGCAATTCAACTTTTTCTTCTCTCTGAACTGTTTTTCTTGTATACTGCAGAACAATGACACTGAAGATGAGGAGAGGTTATGGAGAGATCTTATAATGGAGAGAGTAACAAAATCTGCAGATGCTTGTCTTACTGCTATCAATATTATGACATCACCAAATATGCCTAAAGCTGTCTATATTGAGGATGTAATAGAAAGAGTTATTCAGTACACAAAATTTCATTTGCAGAACACTCTCTATCCTCAGTATGACCCTGTGTATAGAGTGGATCCTCTTGGTGGTTAGTATGATGAAAGATTTTTAGAAGCCTTTTCACATTATGCTTGCGCTTTTTTTTTTTTTTTTTTTTTTTCCCTATCTACTGTATGATGATTACAGTAATACAGTTCCCTGAAGATTTTTATATGTAACTGCTCTATTGGTAGTTCTTTCATATGGCATACATCATCTGGATTAATATATGGTGTTATTTTAATGATGATGAAATGTAAAATAACAGTTTTTTGTGTTCCCCAAATAACTTAGTTGTATTTATTCAAGTTTATTGCAATAGCTATAGTGTTAGTATTACTTCTTAGACAAAAGTATTGAGAAATTAGTCCAAAGTTCGTCTTTTGCAAATTGTTTCTGTGTGGATGAATAAGTCATTTTGTAGTCATAATCTTGATAGAATGATTTAATTTAATGAAAATTAAATCATAAAAATTAAAGCAGTTTGTTGTTATATTCATATTCTCAGATATGGAGATCCAACAACAAGAACTGTTTTAAAAATCTTGCACCATAATTCAGAACTATTATGAAAATCAAATGTCATTTGAAATTCCAACTGCTGCTGCTAAATATTCTTTCTTCTGCAAATGATTTCATTCACCAAGCTGTTTGGGCAACTTTGTTTTCTTGAGAAAACAGTCATCTTTCTAATATTTGACACAACTGAAACACTGGAAAATTAATGAAAATATTTCTGATTTTTTTAGGTGGTCTTTTAAGTTCAAAAGCAAAACGTGCCAAGTGTTCCACCCACAAGCAAAGAGTTATAGTGATGTTATATAACAAAGTTTGTGATATTGTCAGCAGTTTGTCAGAGTTGCTAGAGATACAACTTCTTACTGATACAACCATTCTTCAGGTAAGCTTTATCAGAAGAGTCTGTTGTGGGGGTTTTGTTGTTTTTTAGTTTTTTCTGTGCTTAGAGAGAGTGTGAAGTATAGCTATGTAAATGACATGAAATATGAAATAATATTTTAATTAATTGATTATATTAAACTGAATAATCTTTTGTGTAGTGTGTTACCTTCTTGCTCTGTTCTGCAGAAAAAGAACATTTAATGTTCACATTTTTATTGGCTTTTATTGAAAAAAAATACGAAAAGCTTAATGTGATTGTGTTCTTTTTGCAACTATAAAGTAATATTTGCTATTGAATCCCTTATCTGCTGAATGAATAAGTTGCTTGTAAAGTTGCATGTAGATCAGTTTCCCAGCCAAATACACTTATAATAATTTATTTACATTGATAGGTATCATCTATGGGGATAACGCCTTTCTTTGTAGAAAATGTCAGTGAACTACAGCTATGTGCCATCAAATTAGTGACTGCAGTAAGTAATTTTTTGTTTGTTCTTACATGTCCCTGTACATCTAGCAATTATTAGGATGTTTACATCATCTGTATTTTTGCTGGTATAGAAGGAGAGCTTCAAACTGATTTTACTTTTTCACAGTTTTAGAGTTTGGTATTACAATTTAGGAACAGTATTAAATTCACCTGGGCTGCTGCTATTTGTAAAGTAGCTACTTCTTCCTATAGAATAAGTTTCCTACTTCAGCAAAGAACTTTCTTAAGTTGTTAAATGGTTAAAAGTGTGAACACTAACCCCGATGTCTTTCTTGTCCTCTCTTGCTAAGAAATCTTAGCAATATGGTATGTCTCATTTCTTTTGTTAAGATTTGAATTTGTGAAGTGAGATAAGCTAGAGAACAGGATACTTTTTTAAGTTCATATTCCTTGGAAGAGATGGACACATGAAAAATTCTTAGAACAAATCAAATATTGTTTCACAAAAAATGCAGTATGTATGTTATGTATATATGTATGTTCAAGTAGGAGTATCTTATCTTTGTAAGGATCACATTCACCAGAATTTTTAAATGGAATTCTGAATGAACAAAAGGAGAGCAAACTCAGTAATCTTGACCATAAATAGAAATAATATCTAATATTGGGCAAATACTAAAAACTGAGATACAAAGTAAAACTGGTTTGTCAAATATGTTCTAAAATTGTGTATGTGTTCAACCTCTGTTGTATGCTGGGATCTGAAAACTTTTTATTACACTGTCTTACTTTCCTACACAGTGCCTTTCTACTGTTAGCAAAAATCTTTAAAGCATATGGTACTTAGAAGAGCAGTTATTAGACGTTCATGTTTTTAGATGATTTTAAAAATCTTTATTTGAAAAAGATGTAATATTTTACAAAGACATGCTTGGTTTGAAAAGATAAAGAAATGCCTTAAAAACATGGTATGCATTCAGATTCATTTCAAATGGACATTACTACATATTTTATGTAACAGTAATATTCTAACAGTGGTGTAACTGTTAAATAGGTCTTCTCCAGATATGAAAAACATAGACAACTAATACTAGAAGAAATTTTCACTTCCCTTGCAAGACTACCAACTAGCAAGAGGAGTTTGAGAAACTTCAGGTAATTTCTGACATGGAAACATTTACAGTTTTGTATATGTATGATTTTACACTTCAGAATAAACGTGTCTTTAAAAATCTGCAACTTAACAAGCTACAGTTTCTTAGATATTGATATTTCAAAATCTCTACATAGAGAGCAGAGTTTTCTGACTAATCTGTCATGTAATAGTCATTGTTTCTTGTGCCACTGTATTTATGCTTGGATACTGAAATAATTGAAATATTTATTAGTCTTCTCACTAAGAATGTAAACAAGTGCAATATTGGTGTGCATTCAAGGGGGATTTTGATTCAAAAATATTTGATTCTATTTATATGGAGGTATTTAATTTCTTAATTGCTAGAACTTAACAGGAGAATGTTGGGTGAACTTTTTCAAGGTCATACTCAGAGCAGGATTTCAAACTGATACAGCTTTGAATGAGTTTTCATTTAGGAATTGCTCAGCTCACTTCTACTGTATATCTTCTAAATAATATGTTCACGTTCAATCTGAACAGAATTTCAGTTTAAATTGATGGATACTTTAAACCATTCTAAAATATTTGCTGTTTGGATTGCCATCCATCTTTCTTGCTTGCCTATCAGACCAATAATTAGAAAAATAACGTATTACCTATCTATCTTGCTTGCATACATCTTTCCTCTGGAGACAAGTTGTCCATGAAATAGGTTGGCTCATCCAGGGTAGATTAGCAGGGTCAGGAAAATCAAATGCAGTGAAACTTTGAAGTTCATTTGAGTCACTCAAATGTGAGTCAGTGCTTACGCCTAGTATTCATGTTGTTTTTGTTATAGTCATCAAAGACATCTATTAAATGCTCAGTAAGAATGGGACCATAATTGGTTGATAGCTTGTTCAACTGGGGTCCTTGCCAGAAGGAAGTCATCATCTCAAGTGACTGTGCTATCTGTAGAACTTTAGCAGGATCCATTAAAGGGCATTTCCTATCTGTTCTTAAAGTCATGAAGGGAGCAGCTTACGAAAATTTCATATGAAAAAATCTTTTCTCCATATGTACTCATAAATAACAAAGAATAACTGCAGTTTGTTTTGGGCTCAGTTATTATTTTGATAATTTGGAAAGAATGATATCAGAGTATGACCATTTCATATTGCTTAAAAGTGTTGATGTATGGGTAGATGAACAGTATAACATTTGTCAGGTTAAATCACTTAGAAGGGGAGAAATGTGAGGTGGATTGTATTCACGTTGGTCATACAAACATAAAGACACCATTGAATTTTTAATTCTATAGTTTGTTATGCTACCTGGGAGTAAGTACCATGATTGTAACTCTTGTAGAAGTCAATCCAGCCCATAGTCACTATTTTCTCCTGCACATTCTATTTATATTAAATAATACAGAAGTAGCGAATTAGAGCTACAGTCTGATGTGTTTTTTTTTTAATACTTTATTGGAAATTGATATTCTTGTTTATTATACACAGTAAGCCTATTAAAAAGTAGAATGGTAGGTGTTTGATTTCATACTTTTCAAATTCTGCAGATTTTTAGTTACTGAGCTTCACAGATATTCTGATAGTCATTTGTGCTGTTTCAGTTTATCTCTCCTACTTGAGAATAGTGCTAGACTTAATCTTTCACTTCTTAAGACAGAAGCAAGTGACTAGTTTAATTTATAGTATACAGATTTTGAATGGTGGTGAAAAATTTTAGAAATCTTAAAATTGTTTATGAACAAAAAATAATAGTTTTGTTTTATTTTAGTGTTAATGCTTTGTTTGTCGTATTAACAGGTTGAATAGCAGTGACACAGATGGAGAGCCTATGTATATTCAGATGGTAACAGCACTAGTTCTACAACTCATTCAATGTGTTGTGCACTTACCATCAGCAGAAAAAGATTCTAATTCGGATGAGGAATTGAACAAAAAAGTAAGGAAGTTATTTTCAAAAAACTCCATAATTTTATTTGGTGCAGGAATAATTGTGTATTTATGGATATTATATTCTGTGATGGTGGTCCAGTAACTAGGGAGTGTAATTTTGTCTGCAGTAATAATTTGATAGATGAAAGATCTGACCTGAGAATAATGTTAATATTTCTGTCTATGCTAAAGTGCTAGATTAATAAGTCTTCTTATTTTTAGGTGGATCAAGATGTGCTTATTACTAACTCATATGAAACAGCCATGAGAACAGCACAAAATTTCCTTTCTATTTTTCTTAAGAAGTAAGTACTGTTACATTCTTTAGTATATTGATGAAACCAGCTCTGAATGAAATCTCGCACCTTGAGATAAACCTAATTACTTAGCAACGCTAAATTCCTACTAGTGAAGTTACAACAATGTGCTTTATAAATCCTTAAAAATTTTCTTCTCTAAACAACACTTCTTATACCACAGAAATTCTTAATATGTTTAAGAATCTGTCAGATATTTTATGTAGGATCTCTATCAGCAGTCTGTTACTCATCTGAAGCACAAAAGTGAAAAAATACAAGTGATGAAAGCAGATGTAGAAAAACTAAAATCTTTTTTACTTACAGAATCTGAGAATTGTAAGTTTTGAAGGAGATCATTGGAGATCATCCAGTCCAATCACCCCCCTAAGGGATTTTCTCTAGAGTAGGTTGACAGGAAAGCATCCAGGCAGGTTTTGAAAACCTCCAGAGGAGGAGGATTGAAACTTCTCTGGGCAGCTTCTTCTTACTTATCCTTGACTTCTAAAATTATTCCATAATTCTGCTAACATTCCAGTGGTTTTTTTTTACCTTTTAGAATCATATTAAACTCCTTTTTCCAGTTAATGATAGGATTACTCATGTTTACATCAGGAGAAAAGCTAAGATGATTCTAAAATTTGGTTACATAATGCATTTTCTTTTAAAAAGATGTGGTAGTAAACAAGGAGAAGAAGATTACAGACCTCTGTTTGAGAACTTCATTCAAGATCTTCTTTCCACTGTCAATAAACCAGAATGGCCAGCTGCAGAGTTGCTGCTTAGCTTACTAGGAAGATTATTGGTAAGTTGCTTTTGACTATGATATGAAAATACAGGACGTATTTACTTCAGCTCCAGTTATTTACAGGAATGCTTTCTGATAGTTGATGTATATGCAACATACAAGGATTTTCTTTTGTTGCTATAGAAAATAAAATTTAGGTCAGAAAATCATTGATACACAACTTGGGAAGAGTCATGGAATCATAGACTCCAACCAAGGTTGGAAAAGACCTCCAAGATCATCCAGTCCAACTTTCTACCTATGACCTATACTTCCCAGTAAACCACATCCCTCAGTATATTTGAACATTTCTTGAACACCTCCAGGCACAGTGACTCCACCACCTTTCTGGGGAGCCCATTCCAGTGCCTGACCACTTTCTTGGAGAAGAAGCATTTCCTAATGTCCAAACTCAACCGCCCCTGATACAACTTGAGGCTGACTCCCACCCCTGAGCCTCCTCTTCTCCAGATTAAACAATTTCAGCTCCCTCAGCTGCACCTTGTAAGACTCGTATGTGCTCCAGACCTCTCACCAGCTTCACTGCCACTCTATGAACACATTCCAGTGCCTCAGTGTCTTTCCTGTAGTGAGGGGCCAAAACCAAATGCAGTACTCGAAGTCCACTTCTACTACTCCATGACTTTTTACACATTAAAAAAGATACTCTATAACATCTAGATGATAGTGCAGATATTCATTTTGAGTAAAATCAGACTCATGGCTGTAGATATTCACTTTAAACATCCTGATTTTTTGTTTAGCGTGGATCATGAAAACTGTTAATGAAGTAGATAATTCTTATACCAATAACAGTATATTTGCTTGCGGAACATGAAATTTTGGGGAACGCATATATTTTTGCTATCGTGTTTCTACAAAGATCTTCTTTGGTTTTATGATGTAATTAACATGGTAATTTCACTGAATAATTAGTGTTGAAGTATCTCTAGAAGTCATCGGCTATAATAACCCAGCTCAAGCAGGGGCCACCAGAGCACTGTACTCAGTACCATATCCGAACGGCTTTCAAAGATTTCCAAGAGTGGAGACTCCACAACCTCTCTGGACAACCTGTGCCAGTACTTCATTGTCCACATAGTACAGAAGCACTTCCTGTTGTTCAGAAGAAACCTCATTTTCCTGTTTGTGCCCACTGCCTCTTGTCCTGGCACAAGATAGCATTGAAGGGAGTCTGATTCTGTGTTCTTTGCACCATCCCTTCGTGTATTTATAGACATCAGTGTGATGCCCGTGAACCTCCTCCATGTTGAGTAGTCCCAGTTTTCTCTGTGTCTCTGTGTCACTGTTCATCCAGCCCACACTTCAACAGCTTCTCTATAAGAATCTCATGGGGGCAGTGTAAAAGACTTTGTCATTGTAAGTCCGGGCAGACAATATCTTGTCCTCCCTCATCATCCACTGGGCAGCTCATTTCTTTATAGAAGTTTTTCAGGTCAATGAAGTGTTATTTCCTTTTGGTGAATCCATGGTGAGTACTCCTGATGATTGTCTTCTCCTTCATGTGCCTGGAAACAGTTTCAGGAATTATCTCTTCCATCACTTCCTATGAATCCTAGTGAGGCTGACTGGCCTGTCATTTCCTGGATCATCTCTATTTACTCTGAGGCAACAGAACAGAGAAGCTGTGGGTGCCCCCAACCCTGGAGGTGATCAAGGCCCGGTTAGATGGGGCCCTGCACAACCTGATCTAGTGTGCAGCAACCCTGCCAAAGCAGGGGGTTTGGAACAAGGTGATATCTTAGGTGACCACCAACTCAAACCATTCTGCCAGTCTTTGGGCACCTCTCCTAGTTGCCATAAGATTATTAAGATTATTGAGAGTGCTCTTGTGATTGTATCTGCCAGCCCCCTCACATGCATCCCATCAGGGCTCAGGGATTTGTCCAGTTTGCTCAAGCATTCCCTCACATGATTGTCTATCACCAGAAATACATCTTACTTGAGCTTTTCACCCTGGTCTCTGGGTCCAGGGGATCTGAAGATCATTCTCACGTGTAAATATTGAAGGCATTGAATAAGGCATTGCATACCACAGCTTTTTTGCTGTCCTGGGTAAGCAGGTCTTCTGTTTCCTTCAGCAGAGGGCCTACAGTTTCCCAAGTCTTCCTTTTGTCATTAAGTTACTTGTTGTTTATGTCCTTAGCCAGATTCAACTCTAACTCTCTCTGCGGCTGTTCAGTGTATCTATACTCCTGCCATATTACCTGTCCTTACTTCCACCCTCTATAGATTTCAGTTTTGTGCTTGATTTTGGTCAGGAGCAATTTCTGTTCTTCCATGCAGGACTCCTGGCATCCTCTTTGTTTGGATGCATCATTTCTGAACTTGGAGAAGGTGATCCTGCTATGTTGTCCTGTTGGTTGAAAATCCCCCATGAGGACAATGCTTATGATCATGAAAAGAATGCTCCTTTGTGTCTGTAGAGGGCCTCATCCACTTGTTCTTCTTTGTCACGTGGCTTGTTGCATAAGCCAACTGTAGTGTTAATTACTCTGTCTTCCCTTTAATCCTAACCTGTATGGTCAGTAAGTTCCTTGTGCATCCGCAATCAGAGCTCCATGCACTCCATCCAGCTGGTCACTGACAAGAAAGCAAAACCTTTTCCTTCTCTTGTCTACCTGTCCATCCTAAAGATCCCATGTCCTTCCATTGCTCGCTCCAGTCAGGGAAGCCATCTTACCTTGTATTTCTGATGCCAGTGAGATCATAGCTCTGAAATGGTGCATGTCTCTAACTCCTTTATTCCCTTACATTGGTGTACAGAGACTTAAGAAGAGTTCCTCAGCATGTTATATTCTTAGAAGGTGTTTGGGAAATTTTTTTATAGTGCTGCCTTGTATGGCATTTCCTTGCTAACCTGCATATGTTGGAGGTGGCCCCACTTATTACTCATTTGGTTGATTTTTATGATCCTTTCTTTTCACATCACTCCATACTTTTTGTTCAGTAATCCTGTCCATCATTCCTTCACAAAGCTGCTGGCTACCTTCTGTCAGCCTTTTGTTGATAATCCTGAGGTTTCCCAAAGAAAAGCCCAAAACTGCTCTGTAACTAGCTGCATCTGTTGACTGCTTCTGTCACCTGTGCTAGCAACTGATTTAACTGTTTTTTTTTTTAAAAACATGTTATGGTCCCATTCCTAGTACAGTGTAACTTTCACTATACTTGTGTGAATAATGAAGATGTATTGTGGTGGTTAAGATGCTATTGAAAAAGATATCTGCTCTGTTGGATATCTAGTTTATTTTATGAAAGTATAACATTTAAAAAATTCTAACAGTTATTATTTTTAGATAGAGACAATAAAGGGAAAAATTAATACAAAATGAGTTGCGTATCTGTGGTGTGATAGTAATTGACATAATTGAGTATGCAAGTTAGGTATAATTCTTAATGAGGTCACACAGAATACTGAGAAGAATCACAGTGTCATAAATTATTATTAAATCTGCTTTTCTTAGGTTCACCAGTTCAGTAATAAATCAACAGAAATGGCTTTAAGAGTTGCATCACTTGACTATCTTGGAACTGTAGCTGCAAGACTGAGGAAAGATGCAGTCACTAGCAAAATGGATCAAGGATCTATAGCTAGAATCCTCAAACAGGTATGTGAGAAGTCCCATGCCAGGTGGACTGGACTGGATTGCTGTGTATCTATTCAAATGTTTGAAATCCATGAAGATTTGTTTAACATAACAGTAGTAAAGAGAAAACTGAAAAGAAAAAGTTTATAAAAAAACTGGCATGTGAAGAATCAGCTTTCATTATTGTTCAGGAATCTGAACAAAATGTGTTTGCTTTATAAGAATCACATTTTTTTAGTTCTTGTGTCTTTCTTGTATCAGCTCCCTATTGACTGTTATTTACAGTATTGTAACAATAGAGAGTAAATAATGGAGCTACAGTAGCAGCTGAATTCTATCTTAAGAGTCATTAAAACTATCACAGAATGTCAGGGATTGGAAGGGGCCTTGAAAGATCACGTAGTCCAATCCCCCTGCTGGAACAGGAACACCTAGATCAGGTCACACAGGAATTGTGTCCAGTTGGGTTTTGAGTGTCTCCAGAGAAGGAGACCCCACAACATCCCTGAGGAACTTGTTCTGGTGTTCTCCTACCTTACTATGGAAGAAGTTTTTTGTCATATTGATGTGGAACCTCCTGCGTTCCAGCTTGCACCCACTGCCCCTTGTCCTATCATTGGATGTCACTGAGAAGAGTCTGGCTCCATCCTCCTGACACTCCCCATTACATATTTATAAACATCAATGAGGTCACCCTTCAGTCCCTTCTTCTCCAAGCTAGAGAGACCCAGCTCTCCCTCAGTCTTTCAAGATATTCCACAATGACTGATGAATGCTTATGACTGTTTACTGTGGTTTGGACTCATCAGTCATATAATTAGATCTTTGGGAAAATCTATTCTCTTTTGATGTTTTTAAATAATAGATATTTTCTTTGAAATGTGTCAGTTTGACATGTTTGATGACACTTGTTGATGCTTTTCATTAGCTTATTTCCTTATGCGTTGATCTTGTGAACTTGTAACTGTGCCTTTTCCCACTTGCTGATGTTTGCATGCTATATTGTGTATTGCAGTTATGACAAAATTCTCAATCTCTGCTTTTCATGCTGAATTTAAGATGCTTTTAGTTGTGAGATTTATCGCTGAAGAAGAAAAAATGTTTTCTAACTAAAGAAGTGTAAGAAATTATTCTATTTAGAGTTTTATTATCAATTTTGAGTATGACTTGTTGCAGGCTTTTGGTATTGGTTTTTTATTATTATCTGTGTTTTCATGTTTCTTTTTATTTGACTTTTTGCCCTTAATGCCTTGTTCACCTGAGATGTCACTGTTCTGTTTCTGTATTTTATTGTTGGTGATGATGTTTAAAGGTTAAAACTAGTGTCAATCTACTCTGTATTATTTCAGTTGTGTTTTTTTTTTCTCACTGAGATGGAGTCTTAACATGTGATTACAAAATGAGATTTAATTGGATCAATCAATCTGTTTTAAGAACAGTCCTATGCTGCTTTCAATCCCTTTTAGACTTTGACTTCACTAAGTTTGATTTAGTTTGGATGCAGTTTACAGGTAATTCCTTAAAAAGCTGTTAATGTTTGGCAATTATCAAAACAATGAACCTCACTGTATTTTATTGATGAATGTGTAAATTGTCAGATAATTATTACCTCTGAGTTGATACTCTGTTTCATAGCTGACTTTTTCTTCTGACAGGCCTCAGGAGGAGAAGATGATATTCAACAACTACAAAAGGCTTTATTGGATTATCTGGATGAGAACACTGAAACTGATGCATCATTAGTGGTAAATTTCAGTTTTCTGATGTTGAGTATATATAAAAATAATTTCAATTAAATATCTATTGAATGACTTATGACTTTCAGTCATAGAATCATAGAATCATAGAATCAGAATCACAAGGTTGGAAACGACCTGCAAGATCACCTAGTCCAACCGTCCTCCCATTACCATGCTACCACAAACTAAACCATATCTTGCAGCTCCTCATCCAGATGCCTTTTGAACGCTGCCAGGGACGGCGACTCCACCACCTCTCTGGGCAGCCATTGCACTGCCTGACTACTCTCTGAGAGAAAAAGTTCTTCCTTATGTCCAACCTAAACCTCCTCTGGTACAACTTGCAGCCATTTCCCCATGTCTTGCTCGTTGCCTGGGAGATGAGGCCAAATCCCTCCTCACCACAACCTCCCTTTAGGAAGTTTTAGAGTGCAATGAGGTCTCCTCTGAACCTCCTCTTCTCTAGAATGAAAAATCCCAGCTCCCTCAGCTGCTCCTCATAAGACTTGTGCTCCAGACCCCTCACCAGTTTCATTGCCCTTTCTCTGGACACATTCCAAGGCCTCAATATCTTTCTTGTAGTGAGGGGCCCAAAACTGAACACAGTACTCAAGGTGCGGCCTCACCAGTGCTGAGTAGAGGGGGATGATCACCTCCCTGCTCCTGCTGGCCACACTATTTCTAATGCAGGCCAGGATGCCGTTGGCCCTCTTGGCCACCTGGGCACACTGTCGGCTCATGCTCAGCTGGGCATCAACCAACACCCCCAGGTCCCTTTCCTCTTCACACTCATCCAGCCACTCATCCCCAAGCCTATAACGCTGCATGGGTTATTGTGGCCAAAGTGCAGGACCCGGCACTTGGCCTTGTTTAACCTCATCCCATTCACCTCAGCACAGAGATCCAGGTCTAGATCCCTCTGCAGGGCCTCCCTACCCTCAGGCAGATCAACACTACCTCCCAACTTGGTGTCATCAGCAAACTTACTGAGGATACACTCAATCCCCTCATCTAGGTCATCAATAAAGATATTAAACAAGATGGGCCCCAGTACCGACCCCTGGGGGACACCACTTGAAATGAGTCACCAGCTGGACTTAACTCCATTAACCACTACCCATTGGGTACAGCCCTGTAGCCAGTTTCTAACCCAAAGAAGGGTACACCTGTCCAAGAAGGGTATACCTGTCCAGAGGTATGCATATTAGTCATGCTTATTAGTGCTTCAATTCAATTGTTACCCTGACGTCTGTTGTTGATTGTGTTTTCCAAAACATAGTTGATGCATCAGACTCACTCAGTCTTATTATGAATCTTTAATTTCCTTCTTCTCCATCTGTTGTTTTCATTTCTATGTGTTCTCTATCTATCCAGTTTTCTCGGAAGTTTTATATAGCTCAGTGGTTTCGGGATACGACTATGGAGACAGAGAAGGCAATTAAATCTCAGAAGGATGAGGATTCATCTGAAGGAACTCATCATGCAAAAGATGTTGAGACCACAGGACAAATCATGCACAGAGCAGAAAGTCGCAAGAAGTTTCTTCGCAGTATCATTAAAACTGCTCCATCTCAGTTCAGTACATTAAAGTATGTTTCAGTACTGCTGATTTCTTCATTAACTTTTATGTGCATAAATCTTATGCATTTGATGTTTTAAATTATTTTTTAATAAACATATCCTAATTATCACATTTAATTTGTTGCAGGATTTATTCTGATACTGTGGACTATGAGGATGCATGTTTGATTGTTCGCTACTTGGCCTCTATGAGGCCGTTTGCCCAGAGCTTCGATATTTATTTAACACAGGTAAACTGTGCCAGAAGTCTTAGTACATTGAAACATAGCTTCTTTCTGATGCCGAACAATTTTAGAGCAGTGTGGATTAATACCTGTTCATTGTTGAGTACAGGTAGTTATCGTAGCTTGATCACATGCTTTCACATTCTGTAATGATGACATAAGCGCTTCTTTTTCTTTCATGCTTGTTATATGTCATACTGAGCATATGTTATTTTGTGTATGAATACAACAAAATCATTATATTAAATATACACAGTGGAAATGTAAAAGTTTCTGTCAGATACACTTTCATTTGGTAATGCACACTCATGAAATGTATCATAATATGATTTGAAAATATAAGCCAATTTGGTCATTTCTTTGCACATGGGCATGTTATTACTTTGGAAGTTGTCTGACCAGAGTGATTTCTTTCCTTTTTCTGAGAGAAGAGGAATAACATGTTGTAATGGTGACATACTTGAACTTCAGTAATGGCTTAGGTTGCACTACTTTATGTTGATTTGCATACGGAGACAACTGTAGTTACATTGTCTAAATCTAGTTTTCCTGTTTTTAAAGAAAATGGTGAAAGCTGCTTATTAATGGCAAAAGTAGAGTTTAAAGTAAAGGGATGTAGAATAAACATATTGCCCTTGTCCTATTTGGACTAGTTTTAGCAGACACTGGCGAAAATTCATGCCTTGGAACATCATTTACATGCACCTATGAGAAGATATATTCAATTTTTGGTAGACAGATATTCTTGTTTTAAGTAAATAGTTTGCATGTTACTCTTCTTCATTTTTGCCTATGTTAAGCATTGTTTACTACCTTCCTAAAGCAACTTAAACTATTTTTGTTCTCTTGTTAGATTCTGCGTGTACTTGGTGAAAATGCGATTGCTGTTCGAACAAAAGCCATGAAGTGTTTGTCTGAGGTTGTTGCTGTAGATCCCAGTATTCTAGCCAGGGTAAAAATAAAATATCCATTATGCATATGCATAAAATCTGTCACGCCTAAAAGAAATCCGTATTTCTTATTTTGTATTTCTTTTATCTGTTGTTCTTAGCCTGATATGCAGCGGGGTGTTCATGGACGGTTAATGGATAACTCCACTAGTGTACGGGAAGCAGCTGTGGAGCTGCTTGGCCGATTTGTGCTCTGTCGTCCTCAGCTTGCTGAGCAGTATTATGACATGCTGATTGAAAGAATATTGGTATGGTGACTTTTGATATTCGTGATTAAATAACATTGGGAAACTTGTTTTCAGCAGAGTTTGTATGTTTAATAATTTAGAATTTTGATCCCAAAAAAGTAAATTATATTTTATTGTTTTAAATGGGTAGCATCATCCTGGTACTTCCAACCTTATGAAATGCATTCTTGTTTCTGGTGAGGCGTTTTTACATCAGAAAATGTAATATGTGCAGAAAGCTGTACTGCAGCAGAACCAGGATCTATGTTCCTTTTGATTCCACTGATGAGGAACAAGCTAGGTATAATGAGGAATTATTCCATATCTCTGAAGTCAGAGATGTGGACCACTGCAAGCCATTTGGGGGACAGTGAAAAAAGATCTACAGCACAGTAATCTAAAGTTGACATTTGTAATTAAATTTAAAAAAAAAAAAAAAAGGAAAGAAAAACTGCTTTATTTTTCTGTACTGTGTTTTTTGAAAGGTGTCATTTTAGTTTTTATACAAACTGCTTTCTTCTGTCTAGATGTTCAAATAAAATAGAATATTAACTGTGAGATAACATTAGCTTTTAGTATCCATGTCAGGCAAGTTTTTAGTCAAGTACAACTCATTTGCTGTAGATATGGCATGAAATGTTTGTGAGGGACTTTATGCTTATAAGCATGAGAACATCTTGTGTCTTCCAGTAGTATAGTTAAAGCATCACTGAATCTATCTATCTATCTTGCAAGCCATGGAAATGAAATTATGTGTTTGCAACATTGTGAGCTCTTAAAGCAGAGTGTGTAAGTGGAGGAAGCATTTCAGCATACTGAGCGGTCAACCAGCCCTTCAGAATTGTTGCAAATAATGTGGTAGAAGTTTATGCTGACCTTTCACATAAGTACACTCTAAAATATTTTAGCTGCTTTTCCTAAATACATTTTCCAAATTATTTAATGTTCAAATATTTGTTAATTTATCTCATAAATTAATTCATTTGTCTGGTTTGTTTTCAAGAGTAATGCTTTTCTCCTCACAGGATACTGGTATCAGTGTCAGAAAAAGAGTCATAAAGATACTTAGGGATATCTGCATTGAACAACCAACATTTCCCAAAATTACAGAGATGTGTGTGAAAATGATTCGGAGAGTCAATGATGAAGAAGGCATTAAGGTAGAATAAATGCATAATCCTCAAAATGAACATTGTTTTCTAAAGATTGCTTTGTTTGTAAATATTGTACCTAGTACTTGTAACTGGTTTTTGGGAGCTACTAACAAGTGAAATTGACATATAAAAATCCTTTCTGCAAAGAAAATAAGCTCAGGACAAAATTAATTACTTCACATCAGAATATGCCAGATGTGGAAGTCCTGCTTATAAATCGTTTTGAGGTATTTGCATGTGCTTATCTTGCATTTATTCTAAACATTTAATAAATCTGTTATTTAACCTGAAATGTGATTTATATGATCACATTCTACTCTTCCGCATTGTATATGCTGAAGGGCAGAAAACTAAGATTCAATGATAAATCACAAACTTGACACTGATGTTTTTGTTTAACTTGGCAACAAAATTTTCAAAATAACTGGGTAATTAAGAATACACCTGTAGTAGTTTTGCATAAAAATACAGTAGGATTAGAAAACTTCAATTTTACAGTCATGGCAAGTATTTTTACCACTTGAGACTTGTTAATGTCGAGTGGCATTCAGAAGAGACTGTTAATCAAGATGTAGGATCCAAGGTACTGGACGCTGAATCCAAGATTCTGCAACAAAAGAAAGATGACCTTATTCTGTCTGCTGCTTTTCAACAACCTCAGAAAAGTGTGGCTGTGTCTGTGCAACATATTTTTATGTCTCTGTGGATCAGGAGAGATTTTACAACTGTATAAGCAATGCAAGAATAATTTTATCTCACTTCCATTCTAATCCACCTTTTCCACTATCAAAAACACTGGAAGAGAACCTGCTTCCTAAATTTGACTTGGGTTGTCTCTCTACTCCACCTTACCCAACTGTTCTGAAAACTCCAAAGTAATCTTTCACTGTGCTAATTCTGCTGTAGAAATCATAATCTTGTGTTCAGTTCTTTTCCCAAAAAATGCAAATGAATGAAGAAAATTTGTAATCGTATGTACAGAATGTAGCATTAATTCTCAGCGATCAGTTGGCACTTTTCCTTGTTTAGAAGCCATTGTAACTCCCAGGAGGTAAGAGTCTGCCTCAGACTCTACAATTGTCTTATTTATTTTGAGTAATTTCTTATGAAATCACATGTGCCATGGGCAAACCTAATAGGATAGAATAGTTACGTACCAAGATAAACTTGGTTTTTTTTTTTTTCCTTTCAGAAATTAGTAAATGAGACATTCCAGAAGCTGTGGTTTACTCCAACTCCACACCATGATAAAGAAGCAATGACTAGGAAAATACTGAACATCACTGATGTGGTATGCTGTATAAATTTGAATTAAATTGTATGCAAAGCTTGATTACGTTTTTTGTATATTAGAAGCATTATCTGTAGTCTTTTAGAAACAAAAAATTATGAAATTGGCTCGTCAGGTGGTTTTTACTTCATCTTAACTGAGTTCTCCTGATAATTATACTTCAGAGCACCTGCATGATGATGTTAATGCATGATGAGGATTAAGGATTGGTTTGTTTATAAAAAATGTATATGTATACAACTTCATTTTTGATATGTCAAGCTTTGATTTGTACAAGATGTTCTACAAAACCAAAATTTGCAATGGCCAGTAATATATTCTGAAACTGCTTAAATTATAAGAACTATTTTCAAATGCATAAAATTACTTCTAATCTCTGAAGATACAAAAGCATTGCACTCAGTGCATATGTGGTAGTTTCACCCTGACAGACAGCTGAAATTCACCACAGCTATTCTCAGATTCCCCCACCTCAAAGGAAGAGGAGGAGAAAAATACAATGGAAGAGAGCTCAAGTGTCACGATAAGGACAGCGAGATGGTTCAGCATGGGCGAAAACTCAGCATAGGGAGATCAGAGCAATTTATTGCTTGTTCCTAGCAGACCAGAGCAGTGAGGATTAAAAGCATACTGAAAACACCTTCCCCCCCTCCACTCTCAACTGCATCCTCCCCTTGAAGGAAACAGGGGAACAGGGAATGGCAGCCCATAGTTCTTCTCTACCAATTCTCCATAGTCACTGTGCCCCTCTTCTGTGTGAGATCCCATGGAATGCCATCCTCCCTGAACTGATCCTTGGGGACTTCTGCAAGGTGGCAGCTCTATGAGCACTGTCCCAACACAGTTCTCTATTATGGGGTTCACCCTTCAGGAGCTCGGTGCTCCAGTACTTTTCCCCACAGATGGCAGCACTCCTAGTCTACCTGCCCCACCAAGGGCTACTCCCAATGGGCTGCAGCTCCTATCCTAAGACTGCTCCTGTGGGGGCTCTCCATGGGCTGCAGCCTCCTTCAGGCCTCATCCACTGCTGCACCATGGTCTCCTCCATGGCTGCATGTGCAAATCTGCTGTGTGTGGTGCCCATGGGCTGCAGGGGACAGGCTGCTCCACCTTGGGCCTCTCCAGGGCTGCAGAGAAATTCAGCTCCACGCTTGGAGCATCTCCTGCCCTTATTCTATACTGACCTTAGCTCCTGAAGGGCTGCTTCTATCTACATTTTCTCACTCAGAAAATTTTTTTACATTTTTTCCGTCAGTCACTGCTGCTCTGTAGCAGTTTTTGTCTTTAAATAAGGTACAACCAATATTATTGCTTCAGTTCCTGTCTGTGGCAGATCCCATTTGGAGCAGTTGAAGCTGCCTGTGATCTGTCAGCAGAGCTTCTGGGCTCTGCTTTTGGTAGTTTCCCCTATGGCCACCTTGCTACCAAAACCTCATCACATACAGTTTACATAGCGGAGTAAAATATATGTACGCTGTTATTGAAGTTCTTCGGGTTCCTCTTTTAATTGGTTTATTTTCACTACTGCTTTTAGGTGGCAGCTTGTAGGGATACAGGGTATGATTGGTTTGAGCAGCTTCTTCAAAATGTGAGTATTACAATTTTAAGGTATGAGACTATTGTTATAAGAATATTAACATTTCTTTTGGTACTAAGACACATTGGAAGGAGACTATAGGAGAAATCCTTTAAAGTAAATTCAGTTGGTGTTCTTTAAACTCAACCTTTCTTTGTTTTGCTTTTTGGCTTTATTGCTGCAGGTTTTTTTTGTTTTTTTTTTTTTTTTTTATGCTAGTTTCTGTATTTCTGTATGATTTGTTTTAGAAATGTTCTATGTACTGATTTTCATTTTGGGAAATTTTAGGATTTTTGTTTTGTTTTGTATTGTTCTTTAAATTCATGTTATCTTCAGTAATGACTAACATAATGTGAAGTCCACAGCAAGGAACTTAATTCTGAAATGAGTATCTGATGTAATGTTGGTTCATTTTTTTTGAATTGTATATAAGTGTATTTTCATATCTAACGTATTGAATGTTAGCAGTGAGTATTTAGAGTATTGCTTACTTTTACATTATATTTTACTCATTTTTATGAGAAATAAGCATGCTTTGTTTAGATCTGCTAGCTGTGGTATCTTTCTCATCTACTTTGTGTATGCTTTAATTTTCAAGGTATGGTTAATTTTCAAGGTATAAAAGCATGATTAGAGGAACTAAAGGTCTCAAAATACTTTACTTTAGTCTGGAATGCCATGAAAATAGTTTGCCAAATCAACTGGCTGAAAGCTTGGATGGAAAAAAGGCTATTGTAAAGGATCAATCCTTGTTAAATAGTAAAGGATTTCAGGGGCATAATTTCAATACCCTCAGTCATACAAAAGAAAGCTCAAACTGTTTCATCTTATTTTCATGTTTTTGCTTTATGTCAAAAATGTTCCTTTTCTCTTTGCCCTTTATTTTTCTTTCCCGAACATTTTTAACCTTCTATTAGTTACTGTTTCCAATATAAGTGGATAATTGTTTTCCTCACAATTTCATGAAGCTTAATGTTAGCTTTTGTTCCAGTCCAAGCATCATCAGAATTACTCTCTTATGTCCTTCAGATGTAGGGTGTTGTTTTTTTGGTTTTTTTTTTGTTTTTTTTAACTTTTCTTGTGTTTTGAATTGATTTCCTAATTCATTTAAGATTTTCTTCGTCACATAACTTTTATGGAATAGATAAAGAAATTATTTAGTAATGCAAAATCCTTGATTACTTGCAGTAATTATGGGTCTCTGGGCAGCCTGATCTAGTGTTAGATCAGAAGCTTGGATGTCCTGCCTGTGGCAGAGAGGCTGGAGCTTGATGGTCCTTGAGGTCCCTTTCAATCCAAGCCATTGTATGATTCTATGATAAATCCAGTATGCATACATACATGAATCACTGTTAAATCATTTTCTGTTTCATTTGCTATAGCTGTTGAAGTCAGAAGAGGATGCCTCATATAAACCTGTGAAGAAGGCTTGTACTCAACTTGTTGACAATTTGGTTGAGCACATCCTTAAATATGAAGAGTCTTTATCAGGTAAGTCTATTTAGAATCCAGTATCTAAACTGCTTTGAATTTTATATAAAACTGCAACAGTGATAGTTAAAATTACTTTAATGAAAAGTTACTTTTACAGAATTGCTACTAAAAAGTGAGCAGTAGTGAATTATTGCATGTAAACTCCTTAGGTACTTTTGAGCACTGTATAATGACAAAGCTTCCCTAATTTTCTCTATATAACTAGAATAACAGTACTACTTGAAAAATATTTGTTAAAATTTTTAGATCACTAAAAGCAAAAAAAAAATATTATTTGCCTTAATATGTTCTACAGTTGTAATAGGAATCATGTCTGTTCTTATTATTTCATTTACTTTGTGATTATATGCAAGTATTAGCAAATTATGTTCTCATTTCCAATGCTCTTAGCTAGGAAGAATGTATAAGGATATTCAGCATTGAAAGATGGAACGATATGTCTTGAAAAATATACTCCTATGATGTTTAGGTCATATGTTTCTAATAGATCAATAAATACATCTAATATAGAATGTTTTCTCTATTATTGTATGTTTTCTCATTTTTGCAGATTCTGACAACAAAGGAGTGAATTCTGGTCGCTTGGTTGCTTGTATAACCACTCTGTTCTTATTCAGCAAAATCAGGCCCCAGTTAATGGTCAAACATGCCATGACCATGCAGCCGTATCTGGCCACTAAATGTAGTGTAAGTAGAGAAACTTTGAATATCAGCCTTGTTTTTTTTCCCCCCAGATAATAAGCAAAGAATTTAGAGGCTGTTTTAAATACTTGTTGGAATTGAAGATAGGAAAAGAGAAATTAAATAGCATTTCTATTTCATGGGCTGAAGATGTTAGGTTCTTTTGATCGTCTGTGTAGCTAATAAGTTTTACAGTCAAATGAAACAGAAACTTATTCTGCCTCTTTAAGGATTGAAACCCAGCTATTCACCTATCATATAATAATTTCTTAAAATTGCTGTCTCACAGTCAGAGTCTTTAGTTAAGATTTAACATATTAATATTGCAACTGAAGGTGTGGTTCTGTGTGGCACAATGACTTAACCTGTATCTAATATAACAGAAAGGGACTGTCCTTCTCTGTTCTTTTCAACACTTAACCTCTCAGTTCTCTACCATCCACCTATCCAGCCTTGTTTTTTTGTGTTTCTTTATGAGACAATTTAGTTTAGAAAAATGTTAGAGAGATATAATGCTAAACCACTCAGACCAGTAAAATTGTCCACCTGCTCTGAAAAACTGTGGAGCTCTCTGGCATTTTGATTTGCACAGTGAAGGTTTTGACAAAGCATGGATTTGCCAGAAGAAGCAGGGCAGATAATGTTGCTATGGTTAAAAGAAGAGAATGGCTAGTGGCTGGCAGCACTGCAATTACATTTATGTTAGCTGCTTGTGAAAGGGCAAGTTTGTTATCAGATGAGCTTATAGGTGTATCTTAGCATTTTTAGCTCTGGAGTATTCTGTAGGCACATTACAAACTTTCAAAGCTGCTTCTGATTAAACAGAGGATTAAAAAGAGATTATTTGCTGTAACATCTCCTTCATGGATTTCATCAGTTTTTTACTTTTAGAAGTTGAGATTAATTGTAGAATATATTAAATAGCTTGATATAGTGTATGGCAATTATCATGATTAGTACGCCTGATTTGTCAAAAAAGTCAATTTTTGCCAGGACATATATTAAATATATGCAGTGTTTTCCGCAGATCTCTCAGTTACAATCCTGATGATTATTCAAGCTATTAATCATTTTAATTGTAATTTTTACATTTGAGGACATAGTGTGACTTCATTTGTTTCCCAATGTTGTGATCCCTGGTGTATGTATCAGGAAGTGTTCTGTGGTCTTGTTATAGAGCTCTTAAAAAAAAGAAAAGTCAATTAGTTAAATATAATGCTATGATAAAAAAACTGAAAAATTTTTAAGCCTCCATACAGCCCAAATGAAAGATAAAGTTATGGTACTACAGATTTTTTTCCAGAGGTTCCATAAAAACAGAACTAGCTTTCAAAATAATAAGCAGATAGCAGATTGAAACTATTTAAATAGTCTTCTAAATGTTTACTAAATGCCTCAGTCATATTATACACATGTTGGAATTTTTGGCTGTCAGTGTATATAAATAAAACTTAGTTTATAATTAACAATCAGAAATGTTGTTAATTAACTCTGTGAATGCTGTTGTTTCAGACTCAGAATGATTTCATGGTGATCTGCAATGTTGCAAAAATCTTAGAGCTTGTAGTGCCGCTAATGGAGCACCCAAGTGAGACTTTCCTAGCCACTATTGAGGAGGACCTCATGAAACTCATCATCAAATACGGCATGACAGTAAGCTTTAAATTGCTGATATTCAGTTTTTGATTCACTTTCAGGTTTTCATTTAAAGAAAGTCTGTCTTCATCATAAAGTTGCTTTTACGTCAGACAAAAAAGGATTTATTGGTTTGATGGAGATTTACGTATTGCTGATATACAACATCTGCTCCGAAAGTAATGCCTTCTATTTTATTATGTTGGCTCACAATGTCAGAGGTGGGTGTTGGTGGAATGGCAGTAGAGGCTGAAACCTTCCTCCAGTATTCCATTAGATTTTGTTGCCATGTGACAGATGCCTGCAGTGGGGCAGCCTGACAAAATCACACCTGACATGGAAGTATGTATAAAGTGAAGATGAGTCGTTGAATTCCTCTATGCAGAATAAATGGTGATCACTGCCATTCATCCACGCTTGCTGAATGTTTATGAAAACTGAACAGTGAGAGTGAGCACTATGAGGGGGTGGATGTTGCTTTTCTGCAGTGATGACAATAACATGAAAGATAAGCCACATTCTAGATGGCCATGTACAGTTGTCAAGCCATGAAATGAAGAATGTCTTGATCAGCTCATCCACACAAATTATCTGATGGTGGTGACTACATTGAAAAATAATTTTGTAGCTGAGAATTTGCTCTATCTTTGTGTCTGTTGTAGTTTCCATGAAAATAAATTAGGAGGCATTACTTTTAGTTTGACATACATACTTTGAATGATTATGAGTTTGGGCAGGTTTTCAAAGCAGTCTAGGAGACTGACTTTTGGAACATTTGTTTTCATTATATGTAATTCCATAAAAATTTCAAGTTTAAATTCTAATTACATGATTAATTTGTTATTTCTTGCTCCTAGGTTGTTCAACATTGTGTGAGCTGCCTTGGGTCTGTTGTGAACAAGGTCACCCAGAATTACAAGTTTGTGTGGGCCTGTTTTAATAGATACTATGGTAAGTAAAATTATAACATTATTTTTTCAGTTTTGATTACAAGTCTTAGGGATGCACCATGTTTAAACACTGTAATTAAAACTTTTACTGTAGGTGCACTTTCAAAATTAAAAAGTCAACACCAAGAAGACCCCAACAGTACAATACTTACTGCCAATAAACCAGCACTCCTTAGATCACTTTTCACTGTTGGAGCACTGTGTCGGCATTTTGATTTTGACCATGAAGATTTCAAGGGCAACAGTAAGGTAAAAGTAACTCATATTTACTCTTCAAATCTCACGTATATTGAATGCTTTACTTTTGTTTAAAAGCACAGTATTCCTTGCTGCTCAAAGCTACGTTTTTTCATAATGCATACAGTAATATTTTTTGGTTTGTGAGTCCACGTAAAGACTGTGCATTAATATTGTGTATCTCCTTTATTTTTTGGTTTTTTTAATGGGTTTTGTGAGAGATTAAAAACATCTGTTTCATCTCCAAATAGCTGTTATTTTTTTGTTTTAATTTGCTTAGGTTAACATTAAGGATAAAGTACTTGAACTGCTGATGTATTTTACAAAGCATTCAGATGAAGAAGTACAGACAAAAGCCATTATTGGCCTGGGTAAGACATGCTAATAGTTTTTATTTTTCTGCAGGAGCACACATTTTTCTGTAATGAAGGGGAATTTATATGAAATCAAACTTCACTGCGTGTTTATTTGACAAATTGCTAGGCAAATGTTGTCAAAGGGATGGTAGCTGTATGTGTCTGCTGCAGGGTTTTGACAGAGAATACTTTTTCATGTGTGTCTAAGTTATAAAAACTAGTGGATTTCTAAAGTAGTGGAGATGTTATTTTTTCCCCCACAGGCAGATACATTGTAGCTTCAGTTCTAGTTTTTCAGTCCTCAAGGCATGATTAAGGAATAACTAGAAAAAGTGCTGGGAATGTCCTGAGCATTCTGAATATAGCTGGGTCTTCTGCAGGAGTCATGGCAACTCTTGCAACTTACACCACGTGGGAGACGTTCTGTGAGATTTCACTGGTCATTGAGATAATGCCATAGCCTAAATACAGATTTCTGCCCTAGGGTTTTGTCTGTATTTCAATTTTAAGTAGATGCTTTGTCTGAAGGCAGCAGTATGGTGTATGTGACTTGCAGTAGTATTTAAACTGCTGTTGAGTGTTCTGCATCATATTCATCCTCTGCTCAATATATTATATACTTATGAGAGGACCTTGTTTGGGCAGATAGGCCTTGGTTTCCCAAGCAGTTCTGTTCTCATGCATGTGAGATTGCTATAATTTAGCCATGAGCTGTAGTTTCACTATGGAAAGGAATTTGTCTCCTTAATGCTGATGTTTTGGTCACTTTTTAGATGACTCTAAGAACCAAGACTTATTCTTGTTGTGATATTCTGTGAGAAACCATTTCAAACAGGTAGATTTGGCTAATTGCTTTGGAATAGCTTCAGGTGCAGGAGTAGTGCTACAGTGTTCTGCACTAGCTTTTCAAAGCACTTCACCAAGGTGCACAACACTACCTATTTCAGTCTACTTTAATTGCTCTCCCCAGGATGCTGCATGTAGGACAGAGGCCACCGGACTAACTGTAGGCATGATTGCTTTACTCACAGGTGCTGACAATATTGCTTAGCCAAAAATGTTGCTAAATTCATGTGAACTGTGATCAGTTTTGGGGGATGGAGTAGAAGTAGAATAGGCTTTTTTTTACTCTCTGCCTGCAATCACCTTGTTCCTCATTTTAATTAAACTTCTGACAACTGTTTTAAGTGGCGCATCTAATCTGTGTTTGCATTCTATTTGAGGACTAGCTGTTGCAAGTGTCCAGATTTGGTATACAGGACAAAGTTCCATCTTACTGGCTGTTAACTGAACTGTTGTCAAGTCATTCAACATTTGTGCAGAACAAGATTGAAAGGACTAACAAGCAATTTTAACATTCATACGCAGTTAAAGATTCACATGAAGAACTTGTACTTTCCTATCAGTAGTTGCTAGTGAAACCTTTCAGATAGGGCACTAAACAGGTTTAGCATTTGCTTTGGTATGTATCACTCCAGTTGAGGAATTCAGCATAACTGTAAGTCTTTTGAAGAGTAATTGTGGTTCTTTTCCAAGAAGTCAAGTCAGGTTGAGGATTTAAAATTTAGGTAGTAAATATAGCTATACCTACAACTATCTAACAGGTAGAGACTTACTTGGCCAAGGCTGACTCTTAACAGAATGAACGTAGCAGATGTTTATGTTTCATCCCCTATGAGAAATTATTATACCAAGTAAGATTTCTTCCCCGCTTACAGAATATGGAATGTAAGCATCTCTTTGAGAATACTGGTGTTCTTAAACTCCTTTGAGTGACTGAAGGAAGGAGTGGATTATGGGCTGTTATACATACATGTGCTATGCTTTTGTTTTTGTTTTAAATTAACCTGAAAAATGGATTGAACTTGCTCAGACGTGATTAACTTATAAATATTATTATACAGTTGTACTGAGTACACAATTATACTATATACTTCAGAGACCATCATCACTATTTTTCTTCTTTTTTCCCTTTTTCCCCTGCCTCTGCCTTCTGTACTCTCCTTATTTTGAGATTGAAATGAGGTCAGTCACATTGAGGTTTTGCCCTAGATTTAGCCACTATACATACTGTGTCTGCAGAGTCATTTTTAAAAACCTAGCTTAGTCTTCCCTTCATGACAGCCACTCTAATACTTTGCATAATTTTTTATTATTATTTTTGCTGTCACTTTTTTCCCATTCAGTTTTTTATGTTGTCTCTTTGTTCATTGAGGGTATTAGCTTCCTGTAAGTCATTTAATGTCCACTTTTCCTTAACGGCCTTAAAAGAAAAAGTAGAACAGTAGTTAAACGTAGTTAAAATAGAGACATAGTGTTCCTATTGCTGTTTTTTATGGAGCGGTGAAGGGTGGTCAGCAGCACTTCTAAATATACACACATAATCTATAATGATACATACAGCTACTAATTCATATTTAAGATTTTATGAAATAAAGACTTCTCGGACTAAGAGTAGCCAATTCTTTCTGAAGAGTAAAGCTGCATCTGAAAACACTTTTGTAGTGTGTATCTTCTGAAAGTTGTAGTTTTGGAAGCACTTACAGAGAGTTTTCAAGAGTCCTTACTAGGTATGTGACTGATGATAGCAGGAGGTGTAAATTTTATTTTATTCTGATCACTATGTTATTTTCTTTTAAGATTTTATTTTTAAGTGCTTGTAATTTTTATCAGTTTTTCTATAACCGGCTATTTCTAGTTATGTTCTTCACTTGTTCTCTAGAGAGCTTCTAATCATTTAGGTGCTGGCCACCACACTGGATGTGCTTCTGGATGCATGTAACTCTTCTTTCTGCAGCTGCCCTGGGTCAGCATCCCGTATTTATCAAGTGTATTGCAAGTGTTTTGCTGTAGCTGATAGAACTCCTTATAAGTTTTGGACGATGACCATGTGAAAAAGCAGTTCTGTTTGGACTAGGAAAGCAATACTGTTGTAGGAATGGGAGGACATACATTTCACACCTTTATTTTATAGCAAGACTTAAAAAATAGTAATACAATTTCAATATTATAATAATGTGGAATATGTCCTATTTTTCCACCCTTAGGATTTGCGTTTATACAACACCCAAGCTTAATGTTTGAACAGGAAGTAAAGACTCTGTACAACAGCATTCTTTCAGATAAGAACTGTTCAGTAAACCTAAAAATCCAAGTGTTAAAAAACCTGCAGACCTACTTGCAGGAGGAGGACACACGTATGCAGCAGGCAGACAGAGACTGTGAGTGTTGAGTTCTTCTGTGATAATTACTTCATCTGTGTGAAATCTAACTTTCTTGTGTACAATCACTGTATATGTTAACTGAATCACTTGAAATTGTTATTTATTAATAATACTGTCCATGAAGTATCCTAGAGGTATTTTCAGAATTCATTATGTGCCATAGGTAAATTGAGAAGTGTAGCTTATTATTAACTTTCAAGATGTATAAATCCTGGAAGCAAATCCAAAATATGTAATTGCTATAGTGATGATAGTAATACTTTCCTTCAAAATCTTATCTGAGGTTAATCTGTAGATACAAAATGAGAAATATTAAGGAATTTTTAAAAGCATTTACTAAGGAACAAGAATTTAATTAAGTTCACATCTCTAGTTATCTATCTTGAAGAATATCTACCTTCCAATTGTTCTGTTATTCATGAGGTCATAAAACCCATTCTAAGACAGCTGAAATGTTTGTGTGCATAGTAAAACTTAATTATCAATTATGTGTCAATTAATGGCAAACTAAGTTATTATACTGTTGTGAGTGTGCTATTTATTTTATCCTTTCTACAGGGAAAAAAGTAGCGAAACAGGAAGACCTGAAAGAAATGGGTGATATTTCCTCAGGGATGAGTAGTTCCATCATGCAGCTGTATCTCAAACAGGTCCTTGAGGCTTTCTTTCATACCCAGTCCAATGTACGCCACTTTGCTCTAAATGTCATTGCACTGACGTTAAACCAGGGTCTCATCCATCCTGTTCAGGTATGGTAGGCTTTTCTGACAGGGAGAATGGGGTTGTTATTGTTACAGGTTTTTACACTTGCTAGGTGAACTTCCAGTGTTCCTCTTCTAGCTGTATTACAGTGATTTCTTATTACAGTAAAGGGACTTTATAGGAAACATACTTTAAATATGTGTTAGCTGGTTAGCCAGCAAGATTCCAAATGTTTTTTTCTTGCCTTTGGATCAAGATGTCTAGCCAGTAACTAAAGAGCACGTGCAGATTGTCACGGGATCATGTTACTTTTCTATTGTAAACTGCCAGGTCTTTTTCTTCTACTTTTTGCACTGAAAACTCCGTCGGCTTGCCTCTACATCAGTATCCATATCCTCCACTGTCCGAACTGTCTTCAGTTGTAATCACTATTATTCTTACACAATGTTTTTATTTATATTATTTTTATTTGTATTGTTTTTAATGCTGCAGCCATCGTGCATGTTCAGTCAGAAGCGATATGAGTTTTTTTAAATGGCATTTTTTAGAGTTTGAGAAAAATAGGAACACAACCTGAGACCTTGCACAACTTATAACATCACTTTTAATGCTGGTCTTTCTTGTATATTGTACTCTACTTGCAAAAATACTCTGAAGGTTAAGCTGCAGAGGGCTTACTATTCTAATTTGTGCAGTAGTCAGAATACAAGAACAGTATAATGGAAGAACAAAGAGTGAGAAAGAGGTAGTATAATGACCAAATAATCATTTCATTTGTTTTTCAAGTGTGTGCCATACTTAATTGCTATGGGCACAGATCCAGAGCCCTCTATGCGAAACAAAGCTGACCAGCAGTTGGTGGAAATAGACAAAAAGTATGCTGGTTTCATTCACGTAAGTAATTCTAATGTAAAGTTTTATACCATACTGTTTGTTGATGGTTTAGCTTGAATGTGCCACAGCTGCAGAAGAAGAATATAAACTAATAATCAATATAAGCAATTGTAAAGAAGATCCCAACTCTTTCTCCTGCTTGAAGGTTTCTGTTCCTGAAAACGCGAAATGTGTAATAGAATACAACCATATGAAGCATCAGTTTCAATTTATAATTTCCTTTAGTTTCTAATTCACAATATTCTCTGCACTGGATAGTACATAAGAGTATTTATTTTATAAAAGGTAAGGATAGCTGTTTCAGTAAGTTTAGCAGTAACTTACCTATGTCTATATACAAAGGATCAGAACACCTTGCTCAAAGAAGAGGTCCTTAGAGTAGTTTGTATTTGAATTTTTAGAGCATTGAAACTTTATTGACATGTAATCTGATCATTGGCAGCATAGAAAGGTATTTAGAACTGGGAGATCTTGCTAAAGGAAAATTTGAGGGCTGAGTCTGCGGACTTGTCGACTCGTGGCATAGTGTCATTAGTTCTGGTTGAGATGTGAAGCAGAGTTGCAGAACTTTTACCTCATTGCAGAAGATTCCATTCTTGGTTCAACCTGTGTACTGCTTTATGAAGGTTCCAAAATCTACCTGTATTTCTACTGAGATTGAAACACTGTATTGTTCATGGTATCCAAACATATACTTAATGCAGTAGGTGAAGGCCAACTATGGTGTTTCTGTGTAGGCAGTTCTGGTATAAAACACTGTATACATGAGGAGATGATCATATTGAAATGAAGAAAAGGATTTATGAGGAGAGTTGTATCTGCAGCCTACCTAAAGATTCATTTTGCTCTGAAAATAGAGAAGTAGCCCTGAAGTAAGCAAAATCAGCAAGAAATTCTATTATATGTGCAAAAAAAATCTCATTTTCTGATGGTTAATTTCCACTAATATGGGCTCTGCTTTGGTTTCACTACAGTTTACATAAGCATACATATTTGGTAAATTATTCTACAGATATATGAACATTTATCTATTCTTGAAAGCAGCTTAAATGGAATACCGTGCTGCGGTTGGTAAGCAGATTAGCTGTAAATGTCTTACATGGATAAGTGGTGAAAACATTTTGCAAGACATTTTGATCACCACAAATTCTGTTATAACCTGTTTAGCAACACAAGAGCAAATCAAGAGCAGATCAAGAACTCAAGAGTATCATTACATAGAATGTCTGAAAGCTAAAATTCAGGTGAGCAGCTGCTTAAAAGGAAATAAGCTATTTCTTAATATAGATGCTAGTGGTTTCTTTTCACCGCCATTTGTATAAAATTTCCCATGGCAAGATTTATATTATTTCACATTTCAGTTTTACTCCTCGGAAGCAATTTAAATACTTTCTCATTTCAGATGAAAGCAGTGGCTGGTATGAAGATGTCTTACCAGGTACAACAGGCAATCAATACCTGTCCAAAGGATCCCGTAAGAGGCTTTAGACACGATGAATCATCCAGTGCATTGTGTTCACACCTATACTCTATGATCCGAGGGAACCGTCAGCACAGACGAGCATTTCTAATTTCTTTACTCAATCTCTTTGATGATACTGCAGTAAGCATCGTCTTTCCTTCCAAAAAGAAATTTGATATAGCATTACAAGATTAAATTCTCCTTTCACAATGTATTTTTATGACATAATTATTGATAATTTACTTCCCTAGTATGTTTCGTTTTACTCTGTAATATGAGGCGTTTACCTGTGTAACAGAATGTGCTTCTTAATTTTGCATCCGTCTGTATCTTTCCATATCCCAGTTTGGATTGTTTAGAAATAATGTATGTTCATCTCAACATATGTTCTTTAAAGTGGAATGGGAAGTACCTAGAATAAAATCTGTGATCATTGTTTTTGCTCGAGGTTGCTAGGAGCACCATGCAAATGTTTGAGTCTAATGTATTTGTGTGTGTATTTATATGTACACTTATATTTTTTAATTTATTTTCCAGAAAACAGAGGTGAATATGCTCTTGTACATAGCAGACAATCTAGCCTGTTTTCCTTATCAAACACAGGAAGAGCCACTGTTTATAATGCATCATATAGACATTACACTATCAGTTTCTGGTAGTAACCTACTACAGTCATTTAAAGAGGTATGTGCCTTTAATATATTTATCATAGTGGAAACATAAATTTTTCTATAATTTCAGCAGTTTTTTAGTGAGTGTAGTATGATTATGATGATACGGGCAAGCAGCATTGCTTTATAATCATTAGTTGAAAAATAAATGACCCCTGGCCTGGATCTGGAAGATGCTAATTAAAACTTTCCTTACAATGCTGCTTATGTTATTAAAAAAGAATGATGATTTTTGAGACACTAATATGAAATATCTGTAATTCTGTAGTAATTCTGAGAAATAAGAAGTTATGTGAATCACTATGAAATGCTGACTTATTGTGGTTGTTCTAATAAATAACCATGTTTGCTGTTTAATTTGCTTTGTTGTCAAGTAAAGGATGTTATTTTTACATGTTTCACCTGAGAAACTTAAATGACACTGTTTACTACTAGAAAAGAGTACAGAAAATGTAATTGCATAAGGTGGCATATAAAAACCCTGGTTGTGGCATCTGTTGTAACTGAATACACAACACTGTAAGCAAAAGACCTCTGTTTCTCAAATACTGAAGAACCTTATTTTCCTGGACAGCTCTAAAGCTGTTAGGTCCAAGCTGTTAGGGAGCAAGCCCATTTCAAAAATTTCCAATCTGACCAGTAAGTCGCCTGATGCCTAGAAACTACAATGTTTTGAGTGCAACCCCACAGAAACTGCTTTTTAGTCTGCGGCAATCTGGAGTACATTCTTCAGATGGAGCACCAGGGTGTAGTGCCAGTGTAGCACAGTGAGGATACCCACGAGGACATCAAGTTATGTGTTATGAAAAGTCAGAGTAGCTGTGTAGTAATAATGCAAGTGTGAAACTGTAGCTCTACAAGTAGCAGAACTGATTTCATTTTCTGTGTATTATTGCTTGGGATTTTTTTGATCAACAGTGTAATAATTAATATGATAGAGTTTTAACAGAAGCAAGAATTAGAAGAAGCTGAGACTTCTCTGTACCTACATGTGGAAGTATATGTAATGCACAAAAATGATATCCAGTGTCAGAAAAAAGCTTGCCTTATATTTGTTTTATTGTATTCTGCCTTCTAATACATTTTTCTGGTGCTATTAACACTACTTTTTGAAACTGCTGTGAATTCTTTGTTGCTTCATTTACTTCTGCTGTATCCACCTTGCAAAAAATGTGGTCTTCAGATCAGCTTTTCTGAGGGGGATTCAGAGGACAGTTGAGTATCTTTTCACCATAAGTAATTTTAATCTTTCAATTTATGAATTAATAACGTTGTTCAGGGAATTCATGCTGATCTCAGCCAATGATGATTTTAGAAAAATTTTTTAGAAATGTGCTACTTTACCCTAATTATGCATTGTGTATTAATTCTGTTTCACAGTCTATGGTGAAAGACAAAAAAAAGGAAAGAAAGCCTTCATCAGATGAGGAGACTGAGAGTGACAGTAATAGTGGCAGTGAGAGTGAAAGTGAAGAGGAAGCTTCTAAGCCTCGGAGGTTACGAAAACGAGTAGATTCTGATTCAGATTCTGATGAAGAAAATGATATAAATGCTGTGATGAAATGTTTACCAGAAAACTCAGCTCCTTTAATCGAATTTGCAAATGTGTCTCAAGGCATATTATTACTTTTGATGCTGAAACAGCATTTGAAGAACCTTTGTGGATTCTCTGATAGGTAAGGATGCTTAGATAATCTAGTTTTATTAAGGATGAAGTCTGGACATTTAAAAAAAAATCTATTGTAACTCAGTGTAATCAGCAGCTTTGTATAAGGGAATAAGCGTAGGTGTAGTAGGTCGATGCAAAGAAACAGAAATAGCTTAGAATAATAGAATAATAGCTTAGAAATAGCTTAGAAAAAGCAATGACTTCATTTCTTATCAGGATGTCTGTTGTATATGAAATGATGCAAATATATCTGCATAAGCTGAAGATTTTAAAAGCTTTTCTTCGAAATTTTTTGCAACATCCGCAAAAGCTTCTCTCTTATTTTCATTAAACAGTAAAATTCAGAAATATTCTCCATCTGAGTCTGCAAAAGTTTATGATAAAGCGATAAACAGGAAGACAGGAGTGCATTTTCATCCAAAACAAACTCTGGATTTTCTGCGGAGTGATATGGCTAATTCCAAGATCACTGAAGAAGTGAAGAGGAGTATAGTAAAACAGTACTTAGATGTAAGTAAAGTTGCCCAGCAGGATATCTAAAACTCTTCTAAACTAGCTAACACAATACAAACTTGAAAGAAGATGCTCATGGATTGATGAACATTTCAAATTTCAAAATGTTATTTTCCTGGTAATCTTATGATAACACAACTTCTTTTCAGAATGCTTAGCTGTGTTATTTTTCAAAGTCTCCAAATAAATTTAAACACAATAAACAATAATTTCAGCTGAGCAATATTCATCTTTACAAAGTATTTTCAAATTTCTGATATCTTTTCCTTTGTAGTTTGTTCTTTTTGACCCTGGTGGCTTCCATCCAGTAAAATAGAATAGATCCAGCACATTTATCTTTTCTTTTTCTTCTTGGCAGTTCTTTAAAATATTAACTAGAGAAAACTTGGAAGTTATGGAAACTTGGGAAGAAAGCTTTAGATATCCAGTAGGAAATGAGAGGACAGAAAGCAGTGTGTAGAGGAGACCACAGGAGCTGTTCAAGTTTGAAGCTGCCTTTTGTTTTACTGCATTCTTATGTTGCCTTTTGGTTTTATTTAATGTCACATCTTATAAATATGTATTTTAAAAGTTACAGTGTAGACTGATCTGTGTGGTCTCTTTTAGTTCAAGCTCCTTATGGAACATTTGGATCCTGATGAAGAAGAAGAAGATGGAGAGGTGTCAGCTAGCACAAATGCTCGGAACAAAGCAATTACCTCGCTGCTTGGAGGAGGCAGCCCTAAAAACAATGCAGCTGAGACAGAGGACGATGAAAGTGATGGGGAGGATAGAGGAGGAGGCACTTCAGGGGTGAGGCGGAGGAGGAGTCAACGTATTTCGCAGCGTATTACGTAAAATGATTTTTATGTGCTTATAAATGTCAGTCTATTATATTAAATGTACACCGAGTAATGTAATCCACATGAAAGAAAGCATTTTGTAGATAGAGATTCTCTACTTAACCGTTTATACAACTTTTGTAGAAAGTTTAACAGAAAAGACAATAAAAAAAAACAACAAAAAAAAACAAACAAACAAACTAGAAAATGAGATTTATCCAGTATAAAAAGTTATTAATTTCCTTTGGAATGTACTGTGTGTTATCCTTTTTATTGTTGCCAAGTTTTTATGTAGCTTTATGATTCATGTGTATATATAATTTTATATATCATTAAGAGATAAAGACACGGGTACAAATTAAGAGTATGTGGTTTTACAAGGATATGTTAACCCCTTGGCGCTGGCGGTCGCGGTGCGTCTCATTGCCGGCAATGGAATGTGTGCCGGGAAATCCCAACTCCCGGCGTCAAGGGATTAAAAGCAATAAAAGCAATAATTTCACTAAAGTTCTTTTGTGTAACACATGGTCTTTTTTCCCCCCAATGTTTTAGTCATTGAGAAGGTCAAAACGAAATTCAGACTCTACGGAGTTGGCTTCACAGATGAATGAAAGTGTTGATGTCATGGATGTCATCGCTATTTGCTGTCCAAAGTACAAAGATCGACCACAAATTGCAAGAGTAGTACAGAAAACCAGCAATGGCTTCAGTGTTCAGTGGATGGCAGGCTCCTACAGTGGCTCCTGGACTGAGGCTAAGCGCCGTGATGGCCGCAAACTGGTGCCTTGGGTAGACACTATTAAAGAGTCAGACATTATTTACAAAAAAATTGCTCTAACGAGTGCTAATAAGCTGACTAATAAAGTTGTTCAGACTTTACGATCGCTGTATGCCGCCAAGGATGGAACTTCAAGCTAATGATTTGTACATGCAGCCAAATTTACATGAATTGAAATAACAGAAAAACTTGAAATATCAACTTTCTGGCAAAAAAAAAAAAAAAAAAAAAAAAAATTAAAAATCAGTTAAATGAAGAGTAAGAATGGAACCTGGGACACAGGAAAAAAAGAAGGAAATGTTTGGTAAACATTTTTGTGGGAGCTTCCTTCGCTGTTGTGCAGCAGAAACTTCTCAGTTCATTTTTACTCCCACTGTATTATAGTTTAACAAAAAATTGTTTATATCTTGAAAAAAAAACTTTCTGTTTAAAAAAAATAAACAAGTGAATGTTGGAAATTAGTCTGTTAATGTTCTTAATAAAGTGTTCTTGGAGTTTAACCTAGCAGCGGATGGCTTTCTTTAGCTTAGCCCAGTTTCCAGGGAAGCATTGTTTTTCCAGGCTGTAAAATGGCAGAATCTCCTGGATATATAATTTATTCTGTTGAAGAAAAAAGAGGGGAAAAAAAAAAAAAAAAAAAAAAAAAAGCATGCAGTATCTATGACCTATCTGCAGGAGGAGTTTTTTGTAAATGTAGATTTTGATGTATTAGGTCACCCTGAAATAATACAAGAAAAGGGATCCCCAGCAAATCTGGTGGAACGAATACTGCAATAAATTTTTTTACTTCTCTTTGTTACTTGTCTGTTTCCATTTGAATTTCTTATTGTAAAGATCTGTTTAAATCCATTTATATTATTTTGCAGTCTTTTATGTAAAATTTACTATAGCAGTGGTTTTCAAAACAAGACATAAGATATTGTTTATACAGTTTGTATAGGCTGACTTCTGAATAATTGGTATCTTTTTATTTTTATCCCTTAAAGGGTGTAAACACAAGTTAACTCCAGGGTTTGATTGTATCCTGCAATATTTAGTATTAACTATATGATTTAGCACTGTGCCAAACACATTTTCAAGAGTACATTTTGATATAAAAAGAAACTATAGTTTATTCCTTGTTTGCTTCAATTTCTTTCTAATACTGTCCAAATGGTAATTTATGATAGTTTAAGTTTTGGGAAAGTTGAATGACTCTTCTGCTTGGGCTAACTGGCCATGTATGGGTTGAAAAGTAGAGGTTGTGTAAAAAGGAAATAGCTACCGGTATCTGAGGAGTGAATGGATATGGATCTGGGCAATTATGCTACATTCCTTCACAAATGATTTTTTTTTCAAGTTTGTATATTAGACTTTTTTTTTTTTTTTTTTTTTTTTTTTTAATGAATTGAATTTTCACATTTTGTAAATTGAAAAAAAAAAAAAAACTGTTGAAAGCTTTTGGAAGCATTTGCTTCAATTGCATTGCCTCGAGCCTTTCATGAGTTTGATTTTCTAGATTGCAACAAAAGCAGAAGATTGCAAAGAAGTTAATCTAAAACAGTAACTTTTTAAAGAGTGTATTAAACCCTGCTGCGTTCCACGATCTGTTCATCTAAAACAGGTGTTCTCAGTAAGTTAATATTTCTTTGTGTATTTCCTTCTGCAAACTTCATTTGTGGTAGGATATTTTTATTGAAATTAGTTTGCAGAACTCTCAATGCTTTGTCCAATTTGTGAGGAATAGTAACAGCATTCCAAAATACACTCGAGGACAGAAATGACGTTAAGCTGAAACGATTGATAACTCCTCAGAATCTAGTTAGTAACTGTTCCTGTGGGAAATTCCTGTTTGCTGTTCCACCACTGGAACAGAAATATTTTCCCAGCCTTTTGTCTTCCCTGTTGTTAAGTAGAAAGTTGAGAATACTTGCAAGGGTGAACTCCTGGTGATTGAAGCAAGAACTGCTTACACAGATGCAGCCTCAAATCTCTGTCACTCATCTGTTAGGCATTTCTGGTTTATATCAAAGCATCATTTTTCATATGTAATACAAGCATTTCCATGTTCATTAACAGTTTTGTTTTCTCTTTTTTTCCTGGTCATCTGGCTTTCCCAATAGCAAAGAGTTGTGAAGTTTTCGTTTTTTGGGGATTTTTTGTTTTGTTGCTTTCATTTGTTTGGGGATTTTTTTGTTTTGCTTTATATTAATTTGTTTGATATTTATTAGAATAAAATTATCGGTATAATTATAATTAAACTATAAAAAACGGATGTCTAAATTTGTCTTAGTCGAGAAGATTTGAACTGGTTCCATTTTGTGTGATATGCCAAAGGGCACACATGCTCCTTGTGGGGATCTGTTGGCTGTAGTGTAATGCAGACTTATAAAACTAGTTATAGATAATTAAATAAATTGGTAACGTCCTCAATAGTTAAGAGTTGAGTTTTCCCCTTCCACACTACCGATAGTAAGATTTATTGCCACTTTGGCTATCACAGACGTTCAGATTGCTTGTTATGAAAGAGAAGGTTAGCAGGGCTCTTGTGGAAACAAGTTCCCGCTGTCTGTAACGCGGGCTGATGACTTTCAGCCGTGCACAACGGCCGGGGCGCAGCTGCAACCCGCACTGCTCCGCCCTGAGCTGCCGTGCTGGGGAGCAGCAGAAACCTCCCGCGGTTGGCAGCAGCTCCGTGCTGGAGGGTCTTACTATGTTAATTAAAGAAAAAGAAAAGAAAGCGCTGCAGTGCAGTAATTGATAACAATAACAGAATTTACTCCTTTTTTTGACATAGCTTGGTAGTATTTTTTCACTGTATGGCTATAGATTTTTACATACATAACGATCATAATTATTGAATTTTGTTATTCTTCTTGCTTTCTCCCTTTGCGTACCAGTTCTGTACGTGGAAACTTGTTGTGGTACCATGTGTAACAAAGGGATGTTGTCAGGCGTTCAGAATTAACACCAGCCATGTTGTACGTAGAGAAAACATGGACACTTCCACCATCTAAATGAAAATGAAATGGTTATTTTTAATCTTCCACCTCAGTACTGTAAAATTCCAGAAATAATTCCTGAATATTTTCATTATCTGCAGCTATAAAAGATCATAATAGTTTTTGACAAAACTTTTAATTACAAATAAGTATTTTTTTAAATGATCCAGTAATGTCCTTTTGTATTTTTGAGGTTCTCTATTGCTTATATCAATAATTAACATGTATAAAGGACAATATTCAGCTTAAGCTTTTCACTGAGGTGTGGCCATTAAAAGGCTATTTACACTTGCAAAACCTCAGTCAAACCTTAGTGTTTGTTTTGCCACTGTAATATCACTAGTGAGAATATTGTCAGCGTCGGTTGTGCTCAACATACCTCAAATCTCTTGCAGATCTAACAAGGAATAATTTGTAGCACTGAAACAGTTCTAACGTGTTTGTGGCTCATGACAAAAAGCTTGTAATAGAGTCTGACTCATCTGGTGCTAATTAAAGAGCAGGGTATTCTGCCTAATGCAGGTGTCAATGTTCCAGGTTAATGAATGGGTCAGTTCTATTGATCCTTACTGTAAAGCTAACAATGCATTTTAATTCCAAGCCACCATTCCAAGGTGTTAATGGAGTTAAATTCAAATAAACATGTATTGCTTTTTGTTCATGTGCCCAGCACTAGAAATAGCAAGAGCTCAAGGCACAAGTCCTGTACCTTAGTTTCTTCCCACTCACTTTAAAGCCACCCCGTAACTGTACAAGTGTTTCCATATCCCTCCAAGAATTTGTCATTAAAGTACTGAGTTGTAATGGTAGGTGAGTTCTGAATGTAAGTTGTGAGTTTTTAGATTTCATGGTTCCTTGACTAAATATTAAAGTATTACTGTTATATACAAATAAATTCATAGTATTTTCATATTTCATTTATTTAAAATAAACGTTTTAAGAGTTCAGTTTGAGCCCTTTCAAAATGACACTTTCAAGTTTTTATCCCAGCCCGCGCCATACACTTAGTTAAAAACCCATTCCCATTGTGCTTCATTCATTCTGAGATAATTCTTGCCATTCTGTTGTTGATCAGCTCCACACTGCTTCTAAAACACGATTCAGATGTCCCATTTCCCACTTGAGTTTGGACTTTTTGTATGAGGAAGGAGTCGTTTTCACTGACATACACTGCAGATACTGATTGTAAAATGTCTCTTCTAAACTTCCTCAGAAACCCTCTTAGCCCATGCATTGGTTTTGAGGCGAATGAGAAGATGAGGGAGGCAACCTGATCCTGTGTGCAACAGTCTGTGCCGTGTGGATGCCTATGCAGGCAACAGGCACCAGTTTGGTGGCTGTGCAAGTCTGTGACATACATTTTAGCACCCATTTCACTAGGAAAGAGGATCTGCAAGTTTTCCAGGCTACAGCTGGTGACTCAGAGTGGCAAGTATTTCTCAGTATTTCAGGGACTATTTAAACAAACTTGGTTTTCATGAGCTTTTCTGCATAACAGCACTGTCAAAGCTGTGTTGAAAACAAGTATCCTAGTTCCTAGGGGCTAGAAAACAGTGATACAGCTGCTCTTCACCCACCACCCTTCCAGAGATTTGAGAGTTGAGCATCTGCTTTGCAATGTAGCCTGTATTTTGGAAACGGTAGTTATGAGCACCAAATATGTTGCATGGGGCAATTCTTCAGCTGTTGTATTTGGATGTACACCTTTCCCTGTCCTCACTCCAATTATCCTTTCTTGTGAATCAGCTCATCCGTGATGAAATTCCACATTAACCTTTCCAAAAAACCTCCTCTATTTGTTTTAACTATTCCTCTGTCCAACAGAGAGCTACAGTGTGCTGGAAGCAGCACAGTTCTCTCACTGCAGTTGATGTTTCTGCACAAACACAAACTGAAGACTGCTTCCTTTAGACTGCAGCTTTTTCTGTCTCTCGTGTTAGAGTGATGGTTGTACAGAGTAATGCAGAAGCTGAATTGCACTTCAATCCCTACTTGTGTAGATGAGCTGAGTGTATTTTGCTTCCTGCTGTGAGCACAGACAAATGATGTGTAATGATCTCTTGAGAAAATCCATCAGTTGCAGATTTATTAGGAAACTTTTCATTCTGAGTTTTCCCAGGCCAGTCCTGAGCATAATTAGTCTAGTGCCATTCTGAACAGTAATGCCTCATTTCCAAACATAAAACTGCACTTTAGACCCGTGCAGAATTAAGTTCTCTATGTTTTGGATCGCTTTTCATCAATTCTTTTTAGTTGTCTAAAATCAGAAAAAATAATAATTCACTTACTACAGTGTTCTAAAAATGCAATGGCTGTTACACACTTTTAAATAAAATTCACAGTTATGATCAGCTCAACAGCAGGCTGTAAAACTCAGGACTTTAACCAAAAATTATTTTAGAAATCGGCTTGTCAAAATCAACACCAGCACTGTTTTGATTAACGTTGAGTTCTGGAAATTCATTCCTTACATGAGTTGTTCCTGCAAAGGGTCTGCATGCCGTGCTCTCAAAGAGTCAATGGTATTGAAGCAAAAACTGCACAAGGAGTTATTTCCTGAACTAGTAATTAACTTTTGACCACTGTTTTGCTCTACTTGAGTGAGGATTCCATTTCATCCTGTACAGAGCTCTGTTCAAACTGACTGAAGTCAGACTGACTGTCTGCATTCCACCCATTTGCAGTCATGCATTCCAAACTTCCAGTCTCGTTCAGCCTACTCCAAGATCTGGCATGCAAGGTCTTCTACATGCCTTCATTCTCTTTGACCACTTCTAGGTAAGACTGGATGCTCCATAGTTAGATACAGCTTTTCCTGGCTTCAGTTTTAAATGTCATTTTTAGGAGTGGTCATAACAAGTCATGTATTTCTCTCAGAATCAACTCTGAGTTTTTTGTGAACAACTCTCCTTTCTATTTCTTGTCCATTTGATGCATCATACAAAGGAAACCAATGTTGTTTTAGCTTCTTCACAAATATCCCACTTCAGGGTCAGAGTAATTTGCTGACACCTTACATGAAGCTGTGCTACGTGGTCTCCAAACCAAGTTCACTTTGTGTTCGTTGTGTGCAAAAAAAAAAAAAAAAAAAAAAAAAAAACCAACCAAAAAAACAAACTGTAGGGCAGGCTTTAACACAAGTACATATTGTGGAACAAGTACAGTTCTTTGATCTTTTCCAAGCCATGGGCGACTTGCAAAGGAGCTCATACCACCGCTGAATGCATCCCATTCCATCTGAAGAGTGAAGGAGCCATTGCTGTTTGCCTGAATGTTCCCCATATGTTTGTTCTTTAATTAGGCAATATCTGTGGAAATAAGGAATATTTGCCAGTCCTGTATATATTAGGCTGCTTTATCTTGTAATTTGACGTCTCCTTACAGTCCCTCAGTTCAAATCCCTCAGCCAGAGCTCTGTCAAAGAAATAGACTTCTGCAATGTAAAGTGTGATGATGCTATCAGTCAAGAACACGTAAGTACCGTTCTGTTATTCTCTAATTAGTAAGAAAGATTCCACATTAAAGATAAATATTTAGTAGAATCTTTTCACTTGTGAACATTTTTCTTTCTTCTTGTTTTAATTCTACTGTGTTCCTGGGAAGTTTGGTTGGTGATAAATTTTCAGTATCCCTGCTTTATGAAACAACCAAAGAACCAAACAACGTTCTGACTGCAACTACTAAGGAAACCAGAAATGTTAACATGTAAAAGGGTGTTGCACACACAGTAATAGGATGCAAATTATTGGAAAGACTGTTTCAAATAGTCATAGAAAGGATATCTACACTGAATTTTCTAAGGCCAGGTATAATTTAACTCAATAAAATCATCTGAATCTTACAGCACTACAGCTTCTGACCTGAGAGTCAGATGCAAATAATCCGATACTGGATTGGTGAAGTAAACGTGGGTTTAAACAAAAGCATTACTGTGTTTTAGGAAAATGCAAACTGCTCCAGTTTGTGTCCCTTAAGAAGTTCTTGAGTCACCCCACTTGAGCCTGAAGAATGTTTTTAGGATTCTTTCCTTCCATTTCTCATTTTTCTATCACATTCTTCCAAATAGTATG